CGGTAAAATTCAGAACTAAATTATGCTAACATGATCCAACCTTTTTTATGCAAGACAACAGTAACAATAGTAAAATGTCCAACCTTAAACGCTCTTTTAGCTTTAATCGATTGTGCAGTAATGATTCATGCTACTTGAATCTTTAAATATTTTTAAGAGTAATTTTCAAAAATAAACCAAGACACATGGATCATTATTGCGCTTTAAAAATAATTTTAAAACCAGGCTTTAAAGTAATTTACAAAAATGAGCCAAGTCACATGGATCATTATTGCGCTTTAAAAATAATTTTAAAACCAGGCTTTAAAGTAATTTACAAAAATGAGCCAAGTCACATGGATCATTATTGCGTTTTAAAAATAATTTTAAAACGAGGCTTTATTTTTTAAGCCAAAATGATCCAAGTTACCCAAATCATTTTTACAAAATTAAATAAAGCCAATAACGCTAATGTATTTAACACTGTAATGATTCAAAAAGATTGAATCATATCAGCAAATAACGTTATCCTCGTAATTTTCTTTGGCCATAATAAATGGAGAAGTTTTACATTTCCATCATGCAGTAATATAATAAAGAAACCCAAGCGACAACAACGCACCGCCAGCCAAAATCTGTGGAAAAGTGGATAGCGTAGTGCTTTTTTTTGTTTTTGAACATTTATTGCTATTGAAACTCTTTTTACAGAAAAACATCAACTCAAAACTCAATACTGTCAAAACTCAATACTGTCAAAACATCCAACTTTACAGAAAATTTCACAAAGATTTTTAGAACCAGGTCATTCCTACCTGCCAAATAACACCGATTTTGGCAAAATAGAATCCTCTCTTAAGTTGCGGCAGCGAATTTATATACCAGAAGAGTACACGGATGTCATGCGTTCGTGTCAAAGGAAGAAACCGATGGTGGTTACTAGAATGAAAAACTTCCATCGTCAATAGAAAATTATCAACAGATAAGAAGCCCATAAATTGGCTTAACCCCAGAGAAATTTTATTAAAAAAAAAGAAAACCCGTGTTCGATTTTCATGAGAAATTCTTTTGAAAGTGAATTTGTGAAAGTAGATATTAAAAAAAAATCTAAAAGTAAACTTTTGACGGACATATTTACTCCAGAAAATCTTTTCAGTCGTGGTTAGATCTTATTCCAAAAGACTGTCAAAACATGACATAGATGGGTCCGGAAATTAACTAGATTTTCCCCTGGGAAAAAAGTTCTACAGAATAATGTTTCTTCGTTCTAAACTTAAATATTTCAATGTTTTTATAATGTAAAGATGTTACCCAAAATAAATCTTTGTTTTATGTACAGACTTTGGTAAAAATAAATATAATTTGACAGTAACGCAGACAAACACCGCTTTGGATCATATCTGCAAATAATAAAATTTGCTTTGTACCACAGAAAAATAATTTTGCAGAAATAATCCAAATGTTTTTTTAAATCTAATGAAAAAAATAAATAAACTTTATTTTTTAAAATACGCACATAAGATGCAATAAACACCTTAAAATAACTTGTGTATATTTAAATTAATAAACATAGTTATTTCAAATTGTTATATTAAATTTTCTTTAAAGTTAATTATCTCAAAATTATGTTAGTGTGGGATGGATCAATTCTGCATAACTATGTCCAATTAAATTATGTAACAAATTCAGAAGTTTGACTGTTAATTTATTATTATTTTTTAATAGTTATGATAAGAATGCTAAATACGCAATATTTTATATGAAATATAATCACAGAACGTATTTAATATTGTTTTATACAAACCACATAACCTGTTAATGTCATAAGGATAATCTAAATGATGTAAAAATTAGTGACAACTAAATAAATAAGTATGAAGTAACTGCTAAAAATGCAAAATGCCAAGGGTCAAATGATAGAACAGGTAAATTCCATAAAATATTTGGGAGCAAATATCAATAGTCAGTGTAATCCAAAAAAAGAAAAGAATCGAACAAGCAAGGAAAACATTCATGAGCATGAAAACATTTTTTACAAGATCAGTCCTTAGTCTGTGGCTCAGAATCCGAATGATTAGATGTTACGTTTTTTCTGTCTTACTGTATGGGTGTGAAAATTGGACAATGGACTCTGAAATAGAAAAAAGAATAGATGCCTTTGAGATGTATATATACAGACGAATACTGAGAATTCCTTGGGTACAAAGAGTTACTAATGTTGAGGTACTTCGTCGAATATGTAAACAAAAAGAATTACTAAGAATAATCAAAGAGAGGAAATTGCAATACTTGGGTCATGTGTTGAGAGGCGAAAAATATGAATTACTTCAAGTTATACTGGAAGGAAAAGTACAGGGCAAAAGATCAGTAGGAAGACGCCAGAACTCATAACTGAAAGACCTAAGAAGATGGTTCGACCGCTCATCCGCAGAAATCTTTCGCGCGGCAGTTTCCAAAACCACAATTGCCATTTGGATCGCCAACCTTCGAAAGGAGACGGTGCCATGAGAAGAAGAAGAACTGCTAAAAACCCATTACAATTAATTTCTTGTCAAATTGAGTGAATCGCTGTATTGTTTCAACAAAATGGTGCCTAGTACTTCTAGAAATTCAAAAATTCGTGTGTTGTGTTTAAAAATTATTCTTCTTCTTCTTAGACTCTCCCTACGGAGGTTGAGAAATATAATGGCTATTTTTATTTTTGAACTTGCTGCTCTAAACAAATCAATAGATCTGCATTGATACCAATCACGTAGATTCTTCAACCATGAGTTCTGCCTTCAGCCAACAGATCTTCTTTGAGTCTTTCTTTGTATTATGAGTCTCAAAATTTCATATTTTGTGGCCTAGGCATTCCAGTTTGCTGGTTTGTATAGTGGTGATTAGTTCTGATTCTTTACAAACCCTCTCCAGTACTTCTTTATTTGTAATTCTATCAGTCCATGATCTTTTTAATACTCTGCGGTATAACCAGAGTTTGAAAACCTTGATTCTTTTTAAATTGCATTTTTTTAATGTCCAAGTCTAAGCTCCATATATTGAAAATAGTCCAAATTTAGTTTTTTGCACGTTAGAAGTGGCTTTATTCATATAAATGCTTGATCAAAGTTCCCAACTACTCATATTTTTTCTACTTGTTCTATCAAGTTATCATTGTCAATAGGTGATATATTTTGTGGTCTTTTTGTAATTAGCATGTAATTTGTTTTTTTGGCATTTATAGTAATTCCCATCTCAGCACTATTCATACTTAAGCTTTCGATAAGATGTTCTAAATCTTCTATACTCGTTGCTAGGATCACATTGTCGTCTGTATATCGTAAGTTGTTAATTAATTTTCCGTTAACGGTAACTCCCGCTTTGATATTATTGGGCGTGTTTTAGAAAATTTCTTCAAAATATAAGTTAAACAAAAGTGGCGATAAAACACATCCCTGTCTAGCTCCTCTACAGATCTTCATTTCTTCTGAGTGTTGTCCATCAATTTGAACTATGGTACTTTGGTTCCAATATAATGTTTGCACTATATTTATGATTTTACTGTCAATGCACTTGTGTTCATAAGTATTGATATTAGTTTTTCATGTCTTACTTTATCGAAAGCTTTTTCGTAGTCAACAAAGAACAAGTGTAGATCAACGTTTACATCCCGACATTGCTGAATCAACATGTTGATGGCAAATAGTCCTTCTCGAGTACCCATTCCATTTCGGTACCAGAACTGCGTCTCGCTAATATCCTCCTCTAGTCTTTCTTATATTCTCTTATGTATTACCTTCAGCAGTACTTTTAAAATATGAATCATGAGACTCAGTGTTCGATAATCAGAACACTTTTTAGCAGCTTATTTTTTAGGGATGGTTATAAATGCTGACTTCAGACACTCCTGTGGTATGTAAAGATAAAAATGCCCCCATGACAGCCATGCGTGATGCGATAACAAATAGTTATGGCTGAATCAGATGTTTTGTTTTCGTTGTCTAAAGATGACATAAACGAATGGTTAGTCTGTGATGAGAACGCAAATAGCTATTGATTGCTGACAGATGATGAAATCGTTGAGTTATTAAAGATCTCTGACACAGTTATTAAAGAAATTGCTCCCATAGAGAAAAAGATAATCCCTCGGCTAAAACAGTTGGCCTATGGAGAAGTATTAACTGCTAGTGACGTTTTGAACAGAATGAAGGAACAGGAGGATCTTAGAAAGCAGAAAGGAAATGGGAAAAGAAATAAAATATGAAAAATTGGTGATTTGCTTGAAACTCCAGTAACCAGTAAAAATACAAATACAAAGAAATGTAGAAAAGAGTCATTGTCATTATCTGATGCAAGTGAAACAGAAGTATCTTATGCTCAGAGTGATGACAGTCCATGGAAAGAACCGGTAGAAGAAGAGCTACAAGAAAGAGAGGCTGTAAAACCCCAAAAACTCCAGCAGGGGAAAATTTGTCTTAGTATATATAAAATTATCAAATTTGTATACAGTAGAAGAGCAAAACCGAATAGGATAAGTATGAAATGAGCAAGTACAGATGAATATGAATGTTAAAAATAAAAACTTTGAAGGGAAGACTGATTTCCTGATTTGAATTCCAACTTATTAAACAGAGAATTTTTAATGATTTAAACTGTATAAGAATTGAATTTGTTGCATGTTAATTTAAAATAAGTAGGTAAAGAGAAAAAAAGAAAGTTTAAAATGCTAAATAGATGATAATAAGTTACAATGACCTCTTAAAAAACCATAATTATTTAAAAGAAATTTGTATTCTGTTATTTAAGATGTATTCACTGATACCGTTATCTGACCTAACAGCATCAATAATATTGATGAGTATGGAGACTATTTTATTTAAAAAAAGAATTAGAACCACAAAAAAACGATAAATACAACAGGGTCTTAACTTTACTGAAATAACTATACTTATTATAATACGGGATTCTGTGAAAATTGAATCTATATTTTTTTTGTTATAATTTGGTATTATAATAATTATTAATGAAAGAATGGTTGTACGTACCCTAATGTTTGTAATCCATTATAAAGTATAAGATATGTAGTGACAGCACCATTCCCTTTTTTGCTTCTAGATTCTTTTGCCATTTTTAAGGAACAATGTTCCAACGGTACGTTTACAAACTAACTCCGAGAACTAACTAACTGCTAACAATATTCCATCATTACAACAGGACAGGTACCAATAAATAACCAATTATTTAATATTCACACGTGCAAGTACCATCACCAACCAATCAAATCAACGAATTCGAATGACGTAATCTACGTTCGAGTTTTAACACCAGTGCAAGTGCCACAAAATTTTTATTTTGACACACAAATATATTTGGAGCGAAGTTAGTAACATGTAGAAAAATCATAGTAGCGCGAGATTAAAATTTGTACAGGATAAGATAAAAGGGATAAAAGTTATTAGTGATCTATGGGATAAAATGTGACAGAATAAAATATATTTGGGCGAATATAGCGAAGCAGCATAACAACAAATAAAGCATAGCGAAGTATGGTGCCGCCATAAGATGAAAACAATATATCGCGAAGAAAGAACCACTTATGAATAGGAATAGAGTGACGTTTTATTAAATGTTGAAAAAGTAAATTCTATATTAGACTACTTTGTGAGGCAACAATACAAAGATGCAATGTAAGGATAAACTATTTTCGGATTCAATAAAATTTAAGAATCTACCAGTCAACAATAGCCTCCGCCTATGAAAACTTGAAAGTAGTACAAATGTCATACATGACAATGACAAAAAGAAGATTCTTATAACCACCCTAGTATTTAAGGAAATTTTAAATTTAAAAACAAACAAGTAACCCATTGCGGTTTTAGTAAAAATGTTACTATATTTTTTTTTTTTTAAAAGTCATGAATAGATTTCTAAGAAAAAAGATTCAGACTTTAGCCTTTGTGTTACTAGCTTTTATTTTAGGATGTACTTTTACAATAGGAATTATGCCTATAGATCGAACATGTAAAATTGATAATTCTGATAAAGAATTCAACATAATGAAAAATTCTAAATTTAAAAATCCAGATATTATTATTCTAATACTCTCTGCGCCGAAAACTATGAAAAAAGAAGTATTGTGAGGGAATCATGGTTAAAATTGAAATCTAATTTGAATGAGGAGAATACATTCAAAGTAAAACATTTTTTCGTTATAGGAAATTTGTTTTTACCAAAAGAAGAAAGTTTAAAAATTTCTTCGGAACAACTTCAACACAGTGATATTCTAATGTTGCCTGTTGTAGATTCTTACAAGAATCTGACAGATAAAATTAAGTATAGTTTTCAGTGGCTTGATACTCAGTATGATTATGGATTAGGATTTAAATATGTTTTAAAATGTGATGATGATAGTTTTGTCAATTTAGATAAGGTAGTAGTAGAGCTAATGAAGATTGAAAGCAAATATATGAAAAGAATGTATGATAAAAATACTGAGGAATATATACTTTCAATAAATTATCAGCAAGAAGGTAGGAATGAAGGTCTTAATTTGTATTGGGGTTACTTTAATGGAAATGCTCGAATAAAAAGTAGGGGGAAATGGAAAGAAACTAACTGGATTGTTTCTGACAGATATGTGCCATATGCCTTAGGAGGTGGATATATTCTTTCAAAAGGATTAATATCTTATATATCCAGGAATATGAAAGAATTAAAGTAAGTATAGCAATAGTTAACTAGAAAGTTGGATTATTATTGTACTCAAAAAGTATTACTTGAAAATATTCCTGGCTAATTTCCATTTTTCAACTGTCTCACTAATTTCAAAAATTCACTGCATCTACCTGACTTGTATCATAATGAAACTCTCGATTTATGTCCACAAAAAAATTGAGGTTACATTTGTGTCAGAAAGTTTTATTGGTGGCATCCTCTAAGTGACTATATGCACAACTAAAAAGACAAACCTCATTTAATAAATATTTTCAGGATACCAAATAACATATTTATTGATCTTTTTTTTAAGGTCCTTTAATTCAGAAGATGTAAGTGTGGGCCTATGGTTATCTCCAGTAAATAACATTGTCAGAATTCATGATATCAGATTTGATACAGAATGGACTTCTAGAGGATGTAAAAATTATCACCTTGTTACTCATAATGTAACACCTGAAGAAATGAAAAACTTTTTTGAAAATTTGGTAAAAACTGGCAAAATGTGTACACGAGAAACAACAAAAAGAGTTCATTACATGTATGATTGGAATGTTCCTCCAAGTCAGTGTTGTAAAACAATTAATGAAATGAAAATATTGTTGTAAACGACGAACAAGACATGGTAGAATATTTAACGTTTCGATTTCCACCTTGGAAATCGTTCTCAAAATACAAAACATTAATGTTTAGATATGGTAGTATGTGCCAAAATGATGGTTTATTGGAAATCTGTTTGAGTTAATTGAATTAGATTCATAGTTGTTGGATTAAACAAATTGGTAAAATACTAAATTATTTTGTTAGTAAATCCATTTGTCGAGTTATAGAATTCAAATAATAAATCTAAAAAATTGTAAAACATGAAATGGCATAGCTAGTATGATTGCAAATTATGATAATCTCTATAAGTATGTATTCATAACGATTATGATCCAAAACATGTTCTCCATCTAAACACATCAAGAATGTCTAAGGAACACAAAGTTTGTTTTTCATCATCAATTTTGATTGGATTTTAAAAAGTGATATACAGTTATAATCCCTGATTAGTATGCAATAAATTCAGCTTAATTTTAGTGTGTTATGATTTCTTTATGATGAAATAATTAAAGAAAAGCTAAGAAGTAACCTAATTTAATGAAAATGTTTGACATAAAAGTCAATATAAAACTAAAAATCTAAGAAAAACGTGTTAATAATCTGTGGTTCCTTCAGCAGAAGCTTTAATTACAGCTTAACACCTCCTTAGCATGCTTAAAATTAAATTATCAATTTTGTTTTGGTGCAATAGGATACATTCCTGTCTAAAATAAATATTGTGCAGATGAGGAGCCATCTGTCTCTGAAGCGTATCCCATCATACATGATCGATTGGATTAAGATCTGGCGATTGTCCTGGTCACAGAGATGAAAAGTATGGATGATGTTAATTAAATAAATATTATTTACAAAAGATATTTTTATTTTATATTATTTTAATTATAATAACGACAGGTTAATTGTTTTTTTTTTGGTGAGAATACAACATGCTATTAGAATCATAGTCATGACAAGACAATTATCTTCGTACCTCGTTACTATAATGATAACAAGGCTTTGTGGTTGTTTGGTAGTTATTCTGACTTCACAGTTTAATGTTCATTGAAAATGGAAATTCAAAAATTAAGCCAACGGAATATTTTGGATACCCGTGCAAAACAAATTATTTTTATAGGCCTATCAAAAAAGACAAGAAAACACCAAAAGTAGAGTGAACAGCAGAAAGTTCACTTACTGACGCAGTAATTAATACGCGGCTCTCGCGCCATCGTGCATAGTTTTTTCTTTAAGAATTTACCGCCGACATTGAACAAAGTTTTTTCAATGGTTTAAAAAGACAAAGATTTAGTACATATGTCACGCTCAATGACACCTCTCAGTGACTTCAGCCTAGTATGCGTTTCTTAAGGGGTTGTCAACAAGCCTAGAATAGCAGACACAACGGGGCCCCGGATTTGTTATAGTGCATGCGGGTAGGGAATTGGGTTTTTGTGGAATGTGCTGCTTTTTGGATTGTAGCTAAAAAAAAACTTAGCGAACTATCATGATGAAATGGATTGTCCTATATTTGAATAGTGGTTTAAGTAAAAGCTGCTTCCTAATCCTCCAGAAAAAACTGTTTTTATCTCGTATATTTTTATATGGATGATTTGAAACTATTGGCTTCCACTCAAAGCCACCTGAATCAGATGCTAAAAACCATAGAAACTTTCTCTAATGATATTAGTATGCACTTTGGCCTTGACAAAGTTGCCGTGTCTTAAATATAGTCAGAGGAAAGTTTCAGCCTGGTGGATCCGACATGCAAATTCGATACCTACGGAGTTTATAAGAAAAGTAAAACAGCTACTTCGTTCACACTTTTAACAGTAAAAATTTGGTTAAGGCATTAAATACCTACGCTAACAGGATCAAAATCGCCACGATGAAGAGAACACATCGATTGATGAAATTGCTGAAGGCAACGATCCGATTACCTATGTGACTTGTAAAATTTGCCAGAGGAAATCAGGAGATCAACCAGAATACCTAAACCAGGGCACGCTCACAATTCACCTACTAGTGAAAAAAACGTAAGATCTTATACGACAATGATACCGCCACCTAACACGGGTGAAGGCCAAGGTAAGGGAACAAATGCTAAATGAATGGCAACAAGAGTGGGAGGCACAGACAAAAAATCACAAATTCACTAATTCCAGATGTGAAAGAGTGGTATAAATATAGGTTTAAAAGAACAAATGACTTTTTTACACAATTTTTGACCGGACACGGCTCATTTATATCCTATATATAACGCATAAGAATGTGGAGTGCGTGACTACGCAGAGCATTGCGCATTCCATTGCAATGTTTTTTATGATAAACAACAAGATATAAGAACAAGACTAGGAGAGACAACACCTGAGAATATAATGACTGTAGCCATGCAAAATGCATGGCGTGATAGTAGACCTAATAACAGAACTAATAAAAAAAAAGAAAGATGAGACAATCTCTGAGATGAGAGAGTGACAGAAGACTATAAGACTTTTATTAGACCAGATAGTAACTTATGGTTAGCGGTTATGACAGAAGAACTGCAATCGTTCGAGGTAAACGCAGCATGGGAAGTGGTTGATGTTCCTGAAGATGGTTGTGTAGTGACGTGTAAGTGGGTATACAAAGGAAAGGTTGAAAACTCAAGTAAAGTGAAATATCATAATACTGGTAGCAAGGATTACACTCAAAAGTTTGGAGTTGATTATAATGAAACCTTTTCTCCAATCATAACGCATTCTACATTAAGACTTATTTGGTTTGTCAGCAAATTTGAATTTGGATATTTTTCATCTTGATGTAGAAAATGTTATTATGACAGTACCTAAAGGTTTAGAAATCGAAAATAACAAAGTGTTAAGGCTCAAGAATGCCATATAGGATTTAAAACAGTGAGCTGGGACTTGGTATGAAAAAATCGATAATTTCTTAATCTAGGTTATAAGAAAACTGATCATGAGCCATGTTTATACACAAAGATGAAAAATAGTCTAAAAACCATTATCTCTGTTTATGTTGATGATTTTTTTATTTTTTCTAACGATTCAAATGAATCAGATAATTTAAAGTTGAAATTAAATGAATGTTTCAAAATTAAAGACTTAAGGAGAAATTAAGAATTGTTTAGGTATGAGAGTTACTCCTAATAAATAGAATGGTGTTATAACTCTAGGTCTAAAATCCTATATTGAACAGTTATTAAAACTAACACAACCAAGCTAATAGATGCGATGTTTTGCTCACGCGCTGAGGCGGCTGGCCGCATTTGTGTTTGTTCTTGCTTCCGACTTTGCCTACACTTAATAGAAGGTTTTAAATTATCAGGTAAGTAGAAATTAGAATAAGGTACCCTAAAAAAGCCCCACTAAAAATAAATTTACAAAGAAAAAATTGCGTTCTGTCAAATTTTAGGCAGTGAAGAGTAGCTTTACTCGTGTTGTGGGACGGGAGTAACTGGTTCACAGTGCCTAGTTTTTTCCAATGTTTACATCAGACATATTAGAGATATCAACTTGCAAACGTATAAGACGTGCAGATTTTACCTCTTGATTGACCGTACTATTATACTTGAGAAATTTTCATAGTGAAAGTAAATTTTGATTGGTAGGTATATGATTAATTGACGATTTACCAAAATTTAAACATATTGGCAATAGATATTATATTATATCTATTTGTAAAGTTTATGGTCTGGAAAGATAATCATACTAGGATGAAAATGAAGTCATCATATATTATTAATATATTACAATATAGGAATCGAATTAGTACTATTGCAACCTATATTAACAATTTCAGCAACTGGTTTAAGAATTTCTGCTTCACAAAGTGCATGTAAGCCGCTATCATGTTCATTCCTATCGTTCCAGCGAATACCAGCTTGCCAGTTATATCTCACTTCTATACAGTTTTCCTTATTTCCTGCGTTGTCTGGTTGACGGGGATACCAGTTGTAGTAGTTGACTGGACGTCCTTTACCCATCCATACCCATCTGTTCTGCAGTTTGGTTCCTGAAGTCCAAAACCAATATTCGGGTCCATTACCAACTGAAAATCAAAACAAAAATATAAGTACGATACATGCAGTTTGGGAAGCAAATAGGGCTGTTTTACAATCTACTACTTTAAGGATTGTCAACCCTGCACTGCACTATGGTAAAGTAGCAAAATTGTAGCAACTGACTCATGTTTTATTGGCTTTTTATAGGCCAGTAAAATTAGACGTTTACCCTTTAGAAAAAAATATTTTTGTTCCAACAAAAAGAGAAAATTTAATTATTATTTAATAAAAATATTGTTTATGTTTATGAATATGTTTAATCTCTTAAAAATTGAGAAAACCTTCTTCTTCTGACAGTTCAAATAATATACGTTCATATAGAAGAGATCACACATTTTATATTAAATATATTTCAATGGACCACAGGAGTGATGACGTAGTTTTATTGACATCTGTCAGTTTCACTTTCCAAACAAACCTTGTTTAGTGTGGATAGTTTGTATTTTTCGTTATTTTTTCATTTATTTTATAGAATCTTTCCGCTTTTGCAATATTTAAGTATTCTAATAGTTACTACAACAATTTTACAAGGTTGTGTAAATAATAAAGCACATTGTGTTATGCTAATAGTAATAAAATGTATGTATCAATAAAGTAAGGTTAGAATTTCTCAGTTTCAGAACTTTTAAACTATATTTCATAGAAATAGAACTCTGAATTATGATGGTATTATCGTAAAAAACACTATACTTACAAGAAAAAGCAGCAGAGGAAGCAAAATGTTAACTTTATAGAAATTAAAAAGTCTTGAGATTTGACATTTCAATGTTTGTTTGGAAAGTAATAATGACAATGTGACAGTCCTGACGTCACACTCCTGCGGTCCATTATTCGGCTGGTGTATTTTTAAACTGTTCAAATGTTTTGACAAAAATTTGGGTTCTAGGGAAAATGTAACGTTGTCAGCGTGTATAAAGTTATCTGCAATGTTGTAGATTATATCTTTCTCTAACGGTAGATACTGCCTGAGGTCAACAATAATTGTGTACCAGATTAAGGCGATGTGACTGGGAACAACGCCATTATTCGGGTATCGTAAGTCGGTTTCATAAGCGCACTGACAGGGGTTTCATAAAGCATAGAACAGAATTGTTTGTAAAGTTAATAGTGGAAGGAGCTTTTACGTTTACTTTTTATGAATTGTAATTTATTTTAATTTAATTTGGTGACAAATAATAAATATGACTGACAGTAGTAATAGTGAACTGTGTATCAAAAACGTCACAGTTTAACACAAGAAGAAAAAAATATGATCGGAAATGTCATGGACGTATAAATAAAGATGGACTGGGCATTCCCTGCACTCTGTTCGCCTAAATTTGAAGTCGAAAAGTTTATAGGCGCAGGGAAAGAGGCGAGGTTAACGTATCTTCTCGAATGCACACACAAAACAGTAAAACCGTTTCTACAAACTGCAAAACTGCTATAGATATACGCACTCGTATAACAATTAATTAGTAGATACTATTATTGGGAAAATTCTAAATGGGTATTTAATTACAACAATAACGAAATTTCTACACGGTTAAACCATTTCTACAAACGCATATTAGTCAGTAAGCTATTCTACGAATTCTACTATTTTCACTTCGGAGGTCATTATTGAAATACAAAATATTAATCAATTATAAAAATTTTATTGTTAGTAAAAAAATTCTTCTAATAATTAATTTTAATCTGACTGATTCATATCGGCAAATCAGACATATTAAAAATTTTAAAGTAGAAGACATCAAAATGATGTTGGTTAGATAGATAGAGATAGATAGATAAGGTTGTAATAGGAGATATGTTGTGATACTATGATGCAGGAGGAGAGAGGAATCCGCAGCATTGTTATTCCCAAGAAAGTCAACCGTGATGCCTCGGATTTTATTACGTAGTCCGGATGATGACTAGTGCTACCTTAAGTCCGGGTCATGGCGCGATAAGTTTAAATGGGTCTCAAATAGTTTTTGATCAGGCAAACTCTTGTAGGTACCCCCGTCAGAAAGGAGTTGTGCTGTATAATTACTTAGGATCAAGATTGGAACTTGCTAATAAACATGCTAATCTTGAAGCAAATCTAGATTTATAGACAATTTTTTTCGCAAAAATCAATACTTTTTAAGGTAAATTAAAATATTAGGCTAGACCTTGTTTTCTCTCCTTACACTACTAAAAATAGTGGTGCCTACAAAAAATGTCCTCCTCTATTCTTCTTGTCCTAGTCGTAGATATTATTCAATAAAAAACCGCAGGTACGAATTATTTTTTAATTTCGATTTGCGTTATGAGTCAAATTCACTATATGTACTTACAGTATTCCTTCATCTTATGATAAAGAAAGTCATTTTCTTCCCGTGTTTCAATACTGACGAGGTCCATGTTAAGAGATTTACAATGTAGCATTGCCTCCAACCAGCAACCCTAAAAAATAAAAATAATACTCACCACTCCAGTAATAAATGTTTGCATTTTAAAATTTTTGTTATATTTAGCTCACCTGAAAAGTATGTCCAATATAGTACACACTGTTACCAAAAGTTATCAGATTTGGAATTGAAGGTTTTGTGTTTTGTACCAATGTAATAGCTGAAATATACAATAGTAGTATTAAGTCTACTATTATCTATCTATAAATCTACTGAAATATTATATTATCTTTATAGACTGCTCCCATCCGCTATTTATATCTGCAAAGAAGAACTCTTCTTCTTTTCCCTTCCTATAACTAACTCCGTTTGTTCTATACAGCTTGGAAATAAGAATATGACCCAGATCTATATTTCGTTTTCATCAATGAAAAAAAAAAAAAAATAAAATAAATAACGAAATGTTTTCTCAAGATTTCCTTACAAGGAGCACCACTCTATACTCATCTACTATAACTTTCTCGTCTAAGATGAAACCTGCAAAAAGCCAACTAGGCCGCTTCTACACAAGACTTAGAAAAATGCCTAGTCCGGATCTCCCTAAACCTGTATACTATGAGAAGTTTGTCGGTGCTGTTATAAGCACAGCGAAGAAACATATATACGCAGGGGATATCGAAAAGAGTATATTACCGGATGGAGTAATGCCAGCGCAATCTCCATCAGAAGTTCCTTAAAAACGAAAATCAAAAGATTTCCCATGGATTCATTGACAATGCGTGTCGTGAAAAATGGTCTAAAACTGTGAAATCCCGGAACTAAAAATATGTAGAAGACCGTTTTCTGTATGTGGCCCTTTCTCCACAAATTAGGAACCTAAACGTCAAACGACAACTATCACACCTCACTCAGCAGCTATCACTCAGTAACTTCACACATTGCCCCAATGTTTCTGTAACAGAGACCGCTAACATATAACCGAGGCCAATAAAAAACTGCGGGTATCTTAAAGCGGGTAGAGGACCAAACGATGGAATACTTCTTACCATTCACCAAGATATCTCTTTAAAACAACAGAATAGTTCCTCGCTTACTAAAAAGAATCTCCATATATTCCGCCCCAACCGCAACTGTACCGAAAAAGTCCATACTTACAACATATTTTAAAGTTGTGTTTTAAAGAAAACTAAAAACTTCTGTCCTCTTCATAGATCTATCGAAGGTCTACGACCCTATCTAGAGAAAAGATCTCCACTAGCTTCGGAACAAAGTCACATGCTTAAGAAGCCATTACCATTCCACGGCACCCCTGGTAATATGAAAATGTGAAAAGCAGACGACCGACTAGTAGCTTCTTCTTCTTAGAGTGCCGTCCCCTAATGTCTATTTTTAGCAATAGCTACCCAACACCAAAATAAAAAAATCGAACAAACTCTTGAAAGATATTTTCAAAAATGGAGACTGCAACCAAATGCAAATAAGATGGAACATGGGTGTCTTTATTTGAATAAAAATATGGCTAGAAAAGAACTCTATGTGGTAGTCTAAAACCAACGTCCTAAACACAATAGATTGTCGAATATCTGGGTGTCATATTGACAATTAAAGAACATCTAACACAATTTGCTGCTAACTTAGAACCAGAAACTATGTGGCACTACTTGGGATCTTCACACGAGACTTTACAAATGTTTGAACTTTGAACAAAAGAACCTCTAGTTTTTTCAGCAGCTAAATATGCGCCAAACAAGATTGAAGTAAAACTAAACAACAAGATGCGAATTACCATCCACACCATTAGATCTAACCTGACTTACTCATTTCCTGCAAAGTCATATCCCTTTAACAGACTGGTATATGAAGCAACCAGCTAGTTCCAACATATGGTATATGAAGACCTAAAAGCTCTTGGGCGGTAAAATTTTAAGCCCAGATATCCACCCTCTAGTAACAGTCAAACGACTGGGATAAAATTCGGTTGTCACTTCTTGGCAGACGGACTGGCCGTAGAAATCATCTCTGTTAGTCCAGAATCCACTTTGTCTTACACAAAAACTACCCGGTTTCGATCTACCAAGAATGTCTCAATAGAATTAGCACAGGCCATGGCAAGTGCGGGTAGCGGGTAGACAATAGATAAGACAACATTAACGACGATAGACAGATTCAACACTATTCAGCTGAGTAACTACTTGCAACAATGCCAGATAGTAGACAGCTTCAACTGTCTCGGTTCTAGTAAAACCAACGATGGCAACTACGAAGCAGAATTTCGAAGACGCATTGGTATGGCAAAAAATGCGATGAGTCGGCCAAATAAAGTTTGGAAAGACTGATCTATCTCTTAAAAAATCAAGATAAGACCGGTGAATGCACTTGTATTCTCAATTCTATACGGGACAGAAACTTAGACTCTTCGCGTACAAGAACGCTAAACAATTGATACCTTTGGTAAGTGGTATTGGAGAAGAATGTTGCGCATACCTTGGACAGCTCATCAGACAAACGTTTCCATTCTTAACCAAGTTGACATTAAAAAAGGCTGTCCAAAATATGCCTGCAGCGAATTCTATAGTTCTTTGGGCACGTATTTCGCAGAGGTGAGGATAATTTAGAGAGATTAATTGATTTTGTTCGCAACAGGATCCGATGAATTACCAGTCGAATTTTAAAAAGTTTTTAACGAGAACAACCTGAATGTAGTATTGGAACTGTTTAATAAGATATACGATAGTGGTCAAATTCCATCGGACTGGTTGAAATCTACATTTGTGCCCTTCCAAAAAAAATCAAATTCTAAAGGTCGATTCAAACATATCAGTCACGTCTCGTCACAATCCCGGCGCCGAACCGAACAATCCGTCATAAAAAATATTCTTTAATAGAAATATGCCGCCGGCATTCACATTCATCAGTTGACGAACAGTTTCCGAGCTGTCAGATAATTAATAGTTCTGTGACCAAACAGGACCGGTTCGGCTCCGAGACTGTGACGGCACTGATGTGTCTGAATCGACTTTAAGACGTGTAGTGTATCGCCTTATAAGTTTAATGAGTCACACCCTTAAAGTATTCCTGCGTATTATCCATTCCAGAATACGAGCAAAATTAGAACATAGCATAAGTAAAACACAGTTCGGTTTTAGATGCGGTTTTAGAACTCGATAGCGAGAGCCCCTCTTTGCAATACAAGTCTTGATTCAAAAATGCCTGGATCAACAAAAATATGTTTACGCCTGTTTTATCGACTACGAGAAAGCATTCGAGACTATCAAACATGACAAACTCATAGAACTATTACATCTTCCAGTACTTGACATAAAGTACATCTAGATTATAAAAAATCTAAATTGGAATCCAACAGCACACATGAAGAATGGACATATGGTGAGTGAAAATGTAACCATTTCGAGAGGGGTTAGACGGGGCTATATTCTTTCGCCACTGCTTTTCAATCTGTACACGGAACAAATATTTCTAGAGGCACTGGAAGAGTACAACGAGGGCATCAAGATTAATGGCGCACCAATAAGTAATTTTCGATATGCAGATGATACTGTTATACTGGTCGATATCATCGAAGATTTACAGATGATGCTAAATAGAGTAAATACAACTGGCAACCGATTTGGACTGAAGATCAATAGAAAGAAAACTAAATTTATGGTGATTAGTAAAAAGAACATTCAACATATCGACCTGAATATTGAAGCCGAACGTATTGAAATAGTACACCGATTTAAATATCTGGGATAAGTGGGACCCAGACGTAGAAATTAAGATCCGAATTGAAATAGCAAGATCCAAATTCATCAAAATGAGGAAACTCTTAAGCAGCCGTAACCTAAGCGTCAACCTCCGATGGCGCGCCACGAAATGCTAAGTACTCTCTACGCTACTTTACGGAGTAGAAGGATGGACGCTCTAGAATTTGGCTGTATCGACGCATACTGAGAATACCTTGGACAAACAGAGTGGCCAACACAGAGGTATTAAGACGAATGGATAAAGAGATGGAATTGTTAACAACTGTTAAAAGGAGGAAAGCGTTATACTTGGGCCATGTGTTCCGTAATGATAAGTACAGTCTACTGCAGCTTACCGTGGAAGGCGAGATTGAAGGTAGAAGAAGTTTGGGCAGAAGAAATCCTGACTGAGAAACTTGAGAAAATGGTTTGAAATACCAGAAGCTGCAAACATAATACATGCGGCACAAAACGGAGAAACCTATCGTTTGATGATCGCCAAACTTCGGTAGAAGACGGCACATAAAGAAGAAGAAGAATTGTTTTTAAAAACGTTCGGGGAAGAAGACCAAGCGGACGGTCACCAACTAGGTGGTTCCACCAAATTCACAATTTAGCGGGTCACTCATTCTGCGAAACTCTAAGAGCAGCGGAAGATAAAGACTAATGGAGAAAATTTGTTAGGAGTATTCGAGGAAATCACGATATGTAGTAATAGAGAAGCGAGAAGAGGGAGATGACAAATTTACAGACTTCTTAAACAAGTGCGGTAAGCTACCCTCTCCCGTGTGACATTTTGGTGCTGCATGACGGACATGCATTGGAAGACTACCAACTCACACTTACGAAAACAATCACGAGGATTTCCTGTTGGCTACGAATAAAGTTAGTTATTATTTAAATAAACTTTGTTTTGCAACTGTCTATTTTTGTTTATCGATCACGTGACCTAAATGGCCAATGAGAAAGTCACGTGGTCGATAAATCCGGCCCTTTTTATTGTTAATTTAGTAGTATTGTTTGAGTTAAAACTTCAGTTTCATGTTAAAAAGTAAAATCGTTTATTTTCTTTGCTTTTAAAGATTAAAAAAGGTTAAAAAAACAGAATGTTTACAAAACATGAAAATAAGTTAAGTTTAGAAGCTGAAGATTTCTGTTTGTGATTATATAACATTGTAGTTTGTGCAATTTTGTGTTATTTTTTGTGATTTTTTACTACTTTTTATTGTAATTTTTAAGATGTTTATATTAGATGCCATACTATAAATAGGTAAATAAAATACACAATACAAGATTGCGTTTTTTTTAAACAATAATTTATGGTCACAATTTGATTTTTTGTGTAGAAGTTTTTTGTCTTATACATATTTTAAATAAACAATATTTATATAATTTTTTTATATCAAGAATATTTTTATTTTCCCGTTTTTTTCAATTACAATTGATAAATAATTTACGGAGATATTTGCAAAAAAGTAGTATTTTTTGCACTAATTTATAAATTTTATCAATTTTTTTGTTAACAAAATAAAATGTTATTAATACATTTAAACATCGAGGAATTACCGTCCTTTAAATTTTTACGAAATTTCCCCCCATCTGTCAAAAGTTTAAAAGTTATTTAATTTTTTATCCCCGAGACTAATTATTTAAACTATGGAACTTGGCCTATGAATGATGCTAAACACATTGTCACATTTAGCAAATTTCATAGGATTCTTTAAAATTTGAACTTCTCAGAAGTTAAAGCATATTGCGTTTTCATAGAAATTATTTACAAAATAAACGTTTGAAAAAGGGGTATGTTTTTTACTTATAAATAATTGTAATAACTTCTATATTTTTCAAGCTCCAGACTTGTATGTACAACCATTGGATAGCTGGTAAAAAAACTCACATTGAAAAATAAAAAATCTTCTATGACTAATAGGAACGAAGTTAGCAACTATTTTAAAAAAAATCATATCTCCATTGTTTATACACATTAAGAAGTAAAATTTACACAAATTTTGACTCTAAACTTTATATTGAAACTTATAGCTATAAAATTCATCTAATTTCAGCTATAAAATTCATCTAATTTTTCGAAACGAAGGTACTTTCGAAAGATGGACATAGGAACGTGGAGGGGATAACTGTTTCAACTCCGTTTGTTTTTTCGACATCAGAACTTTAAATTGAAACACGTAGGAAAAATTTACATTATCTCGGCTTCCATTGCAGCTAGAAGCCTCTTTTTTTAATCTGGGGTAGCTCGTCGAAATATGAATAATTACATAGTTTTCAATGGTCGGGAAATATGGGAAACCTCGGAAAAATTGAGTCCATTTGAAATTCACCGTAAAAACTCATTTTTTTTGTTTTTTGACTGGAATAGTCTGTCGCAGTATTAATAATGATGACATAATTTTCACCCCCCGTAAATCTCGGAAAATCCCGGAAACTTAACATATATTTTTTGATTTTATATCAATGATGTAATAATACTTATATATTTTATAAATTAAATTTCAGGTAATTTTTTACACATTATATTATTATATTCTTTATATTAATTACAATTGTTTGTATTTTTATAATTAACAATATTGATTTTTATTCTATTTTTCCTACAAATGTGATATACAATATTAATCTAATCTGCGTTACTGCTTTGATAAAATAAGTCGATTTATTCATTACTTGTCTTATTAAATTTTGCAATGTTTATTGAAGATTACGTTTTTTATTTTCTTTACATACATTGGTTTAAAAGATAAACTTTGGTTCATTCATTCGGCTTCACTGTCAGCTCTGAACCTTTTTGTTGCAGGTTGTTTGTCTTCACTTATTAAGTCAGTCTATAAATACATCTTCAGAATCACTGTCGTCCTCAAACGTAACTGTACCGAGGTTGCAGCATATTTTCTCCTCTACTTCTTCCTCAGTACAATTTATGCACAAGTTCGTACAATTCAAAACCACGTTTTCTGCACCTACATCTAGTAGTTTTGCAACCTCTGGTTCTGAGAGTTAAATTATCTAGAGTATAAATTGGTTCAAAACCAGTGGCACTTTGTCTCCAACCATAGGCACAATCATCGAACTTATTACCTAACCACATTTGTAATTGATAGTAGATAAACCCGAAGAACATGCTGTTTGGCTGCACCTTGAGTTTCTAAATGAAGAGTTGCAGCGTTTCTAATTTAAAAGATGGTTTACCGATATTTCTGTTGAATTGTAAGTATCTTGTATCATTTAAAGCAAGTGTATTGTTGTGTTTTTTTTATAATTTATATCAACTGCAGCAGGGTATAGAACCACGATCACCTCACAACCAATTCTCATTATATTTTCTTTACTTGCGTTAGAATCGTAGAAAATATCCATGAAACTAAGAGTTTCTTCGTTTGCATTGATTAATTTAAATTTCACCTGATTATCAAAGCATGAAATGGTATCACATCCAGTGAAAATGTACAAAAAGCCGACGTACTTTCTTAAATGAGGGTTTTGAAAATTGTTACAGCCATAAAGCGTGGATTTATCCTTTTCTGGATAATATATTCATGTCTTTATTTGATAATATATATCAAAACATATTCATGTCTGGAGAAGAAAATTGAGTCATAATCACGAGTAAATCAGTGTCATTACCTATTAAAACTGTACTCATTTCTGGTTCATTTCTGTACTGCTGTAGAGCTGTTTATACGATGAGCAAGTCAGCATCTTCCTCTGCGACTTTAGTCCGATACCCAGCTTTCTTTAATTATAAAATATACATAATAATTGTATTAGCCGCTCTTTATTTTTATTCAATAGTTTTAAATGTTACTTACAATTTTCAATCAAACAGTTATTAAATACGTTTAGTTAAAACTTTTTTGTTCAAAAAACACAAAATATTTAATTCAAAGAACTATAAGTATATTGCTTTCTAAAGCCTCTAGACTGAGACTGACTGAATTTTTGGAGTGTGGAGCTTAAACAGTTTCCCCTCCACTTTCCTATGTATATCTTTCGAAAGCACCTTCGTTTCGAAAGGCTGTAAGTTTCGAAAAACGGAATGAATTTGATAACTATAAGTTTTAATATAAAGTTTAGATTTTCATTTAAAATTTGTGCAAATTTTACTTCTGAATATTTATAAACAACGGAGATATGATTTTAAAAAAAATAGTCGCTAACTTCGTTCCTATTGGTCACAGGTTTATTTTTTTTAATATGAGTTTTTTTACCAGCTATCCAATGGTTGTACATACAAGTCTGTAGCTTGAAAAATATAGAAGTTATTACAATTGTTTATAAGTAAAAAACATACCCCTGTTTTAAACGTTTATTTTGTAAATAATTTCGATGAAAACGCAATATGCATTTAACTTCTGAGATACTTTAAGTCTTAAAGAATCCTATGAAATTTGCTAAAGGTGTCGAACATCATTCATAGGCCGAGTTCAATAGTTTAAATAATTAGTCTCAGGGATAAACAAATTAAATAACTTTTAAACTATTTGACCGATCGGGGGAAATTTCGCACAAATTTAAAGGACGGTAATTCCTCAATGTTTAAATGTAGTAATAACATTTTATTTTGTCAATAAAAAAATTGATAAAATTTATAAATTAGTGCAAAAAATCTGCTTTTTTGCAAATATCTCCGTAAATTATTTATCAATTGTAATTGAAAAAACGGGAAAATAAAGATATTCTTGATATAAAAAAATGATATAAATATTATTAATTTAAAATATAAGGAAAAACTGACAAAAATCAAATTGTGACCATAAATTATTGTTTAAAAAAAAAGCAAAGTAAAAATACGAGTACTTTTTTATTTAATATATTCATCATCTAGTTGCCCCCACCTATGTCTTAAAAGCTTCAGATATCTGCGATGATTTTTGCATAACCAGACTGGGCTATTGGCAGTGGATCGTGGAGGAGAATAGTTACAGACAAAATGAATGGAGACGTTTGCTGAGGAAGGCCAGGGCTTAAATTGGGCTGTACAGATGGATTGACATTATGTTATATAGGCATTCAATTTGCAGTTGAATAAGTTTTCTCAAGATTGAATACATTGATCGAATAGGTCTTAGATTTTGTTGTAAAATTCACAAACAAAAATTACTGAAACAATATACAAAGTAAAATTCCATGTGAGACTATCCAGTATCAAACAAATTATATTATCTCAATTTTAAATAAAACTTAGGTATTTCTTACTTGGAAAATTACTGACATTTCCTTCAACGGCATTTTCCTTCCATATCAATACGAAAAAAAACAAAATTACTGAAATTTTATTAGTCATATTATTTAACTGACACAACATAAAACTATGTACGAACAACTTGGACGTTCCTTTATTATAAACCTACACATCAGTACTTTTTAACCTTTAGCCTTTAACCTGATTAATTTAGTTTTGTAGATAACGATAATTTTTAAAATGAATTTTGCAAAATACGCTTTTTAAAAAAAATATGTAGCTTGGTGACAGATCTTATTAAACTATTCTACGGCACTGTTGAATTGCTTTATGTTTTATTCAGTCTAAAGGCCAAGTAGGGCCTTTTCAAGTCTGATGGTTCCACTCATAAGTTTTTTTTTTATATATATTTATGGCTGCTGATTACGAATTTCGTTGCTAGATTTCGATCCGAGTGGTAAAAAAATTGTTATAAACCATTTAATTGTTTAAAAAGCTCTTGCTCATAAAGTAAAAGAGCTAGACATTTTTTTTAAATCAAACTCGTTTCTTGAGAAAAACAAACAAAGGAAATAGCGTTTACTAAACTTAATTTTTACTAAACTTTTTAATTTTTGAATCTTTTTCGGTCGTAACTCGGCTTAACAAAAATTGATTAAATTCTTTATCTTTATTGGTATTTAAGTTATACCCCTTTGAAGTTGTAATTTTATAAACGTAATTTAATGTAAATGTAATTTAATTAAACGTTAATTTTACTCAGATTTTTTTGTTCTCTTAAGCAAAATGTATTAACACTTATGTTTATTAGTCTTTATTTATTTAATTTATATATAATCTTACACTAATTTATTTTCACGGACACTATCCTCATTGTACCTATTTCTCCATGCATGTTGAAATTTTCACCTGTAGCGGTCCGAAGTCACAACCTCGTTGGTAGCAGCCGTACGGCTGTTTATAACTGTCGGGCGTATAATGGTTCTGGTCGCTCCGGTATCCATCAACAACGTATGGCTTTTATCATTTATTTCTCCATCTACATATTCACTGTCTTCACGACATTTCAAAGAAGCTATTAGTATGAGAGGGTCTTTGGAAAAGTTCCGGGTCGAAGTTGCCCCCCTAAGGCCGACCCGTTCTAGTTTTCCTGATGATGAGTTTCTTAATTCGCGTCGTACTTACGGTGCTTACATGAACTTCGTACGTGACCTATTTCGCCACAATTCCAGCATCTTATGGTATTCGTTTTCTTGTATCTTCGCAAAGCTGAAACAGCCATTACTTTTGTTTTATTTGTGTTTATATTTAGTCCCAAGCTATCTCCCTCTCTGGTTATGACATTCAAAACTCCTTGTAAACCCTCAGCACTGTTCGCAATAATGACAGTTAAAGTACCTAGCTACTTCAAAGTATTACAGAGTAATGGGGGAATAGATGGAGCTGCATGTAATAGACTTATAAGTTATGAAGTGGAAAGAAGCGAGTGGTATTATGCGATAAAAAAAATTCCAACTGAAAGGAAAATTCTGTGGATGACTGGGGTTAAGATGTTTTCGGACATGTTCAATGTCGAGATGTTAGTACCAAGAATTGGCGATTTGCATATTCCTGGGAGAAATAAGAGAGGAGGGCCTGGGGAAACATTTAGGCAGGACATGTTCTTTAGTTCATAAATACCCATAGATGTTGCCTATTAACCATTAGGAAATGTCTTGAGAATTAGAACTTCCCACACACTCTGCCCTATGTTGAGTGGAGGAAAATTCAGGCTGACACAGTAGTAACATCTTAATGCTGGAAGAACTTGACAAAGATGTAGATCAGAGGTTTTTAAAACAAAGGTAGGTGTTTAACATAGTAAACAGCAAAAATAGAATTTTTAATCTAATTTATTAAAGATTTGCACATATTTTACAAACTTATATCATTGTTAACTGCAATTGCAGCAGTTTGTCAAATACAAACTGCCAACTACAATTTATATACTACCTACTACAAGTCAAATCAAACAGTGATTGTCTCAATGATAATACTTACTGGTAAAACTTAGTCTTATTTAGCACTAGGAATTAAAATATTAGTGTAAGGTATTCATCTTTATTTGTTTTAAGGTGATACTCAGACTATATTTTGTAATTATTGAATAATGAAAAAAAAAGAACCTACTTTTGTAGGTTTTTATTTGTTTGTCACTAAAAAACAAAATTTTAAACCATAGATCACAAATTGTTTAAACACAAGAGTACTATTATCTAAACTTCATGAACATCAATCCACCATCAATAAAGTCAAACAAGATTTATTACTTTTTACAATAAATCTTGTTACATAAATGCAATAGATTTAGCAAAATCCCATAAAGTAGTGGACCTGACAGAATTCCAACAGAAACAATTAAATTACTATAAGAGAAATAACATTTATTACATTACCAAAAAAAATGCTTAATAATATACATTCAAGAGTATTCACAAAAATTTAACAATATATTACTCAGTCTGGGATTAGTGATGCTATGGTTGCATGAGAGACATTAGTGTGATTTATTTAATAAGATATTCAATTCTAATAATGCATTTGATAAAGTTTGTGGGAAAAGAATTTTCTTAGGAAATGGAAATACAATGAGGAGTAAGGCAAGGTTGCACACTTTCCTAATTATTGTTAACATATTTAAAAAAATCCAAAAATCAATTGGAGAAATAAAGAATATGTTAGTGACTTAGACTATACAAGACTTACAGAACCTGGACCAGATAGTAGATGTTATGAGAAGGGTGGACTAACATTTAATGTTGAAAAAAATAATTATCAATTAATTACAAAACACAAGATACTATTCTATAACATGAGTTTTACAATTGAAAGCAAAACTATTATGCTTCTACGTGTTTTCTGTGCTGCTATGAAATGGAGGGTCACAACCTTATAGAAGGAAATTAGTGCCTAACTAGACAAATTTCAGATGTGGAACTGTAGAATAAATTAAAAATAAGTTGAGTGGACAGAGTAACAAATATTGGGGTGTTGAGAATAATAATGAAAAAAAAAAAAACTAAAGTCTTTAATACAATTAGGATAAGAAAGTTGCGATGTCTGGATCATGTGATGAGAGGAAAAAAGTATTTGTTGCTACCTATGATAATACAAGGAGAGAAGAGCTTGAGAAGAACATTAATTTTTTTTTATTATTTGATAAAGTACTATAAATGTAGTGCAGGTCAGCCATTCACAACTGCAGTATCAAAAGTGAAAGTAATTGTATAAGTACCAATCTACTGAAAACCGATAGTACATAAATAAGAAGGTTGGTTACAAGTTGGAAGCTTTTTCTAGAAAGAAGAACCTCTTATTAGTCTGTACAATAATGTCTCTACTTTGATGTTATTTTAACTTTTGGAATTCTATTATGTATATGCATGATATTTGAAACACCCTTCAGTGATTTATGATACATATTTAATCATAGCTTAAAATGCCATGGTCATATCCTCTAGGTATGAAAATACAGTAATTATTCTTTATATATATTTAGTATTTTTCTCATTATATGGTGGTACAATGACATGTTAAAATATACATATACAAAAAACTTACAGAACTAATAGCGCATTGTACCAAGTATTCATTTTTGCCTCAAATAAACACAAACACAATTGAGAGAAACACTGAAATATTTTATATAAACTAAACAATATAAGTCATTAAAAAAAACTAACAACAAATATGCAATTTAATAGAATATAATTGTTTGCATAAAAGCATACAACTCGGATTCTAAGAATTACCAGAGTATTTTTTTATCAGTGTCTGAAAATCACAAACAAATGTTTGGCAAGAAATATCACTAATCTAATCTATTTACAATTTTATAAATACAATGTAGTATCTTTGTTATCCCAGTCACTTTTTTTATTTTTAATTGCCTTTCTCTCCATGTTTCTTGGAGGTGTATTTTCACATTGAACATCATTTCTTGCTCTAATCCCCTTCTTTTCTCTAAACACAGGTATCTTACTAACAGCATAATCAGATCTTCTAGGTTTGTCACTAACTTTAAGATTCTGTACAGATTTGACCCTTGTCTCATTACCGTTACAACTTTTTAAGGCTGGCCTGTCTTTATTTTCACGTAACTGTACAATTCTTGGACATACTACAAGATCGTTATCTTCATATATAAGATTTGTTAATTTCTTATCTAATTCTTTGATATCTGCTGTTAAATCTACAAGTGGAGGTGTTACAGGTTCTGACTTTATCTCTTTGAGTTTAAAAACTTTTACTGGAGAACAAGGGGCTGATTTAGGATTACGTAAAATGTGCAATTTAGTTCTCTCAAATATATGTTCTTCATATATGATTCCATCATCACATTTGTTATCTGTACTAACTAATTTACTATCATTTTCAATATCTTTTTCAGTTTCAACAGATATTACTTTAGTGTCTTCATCATTTTTGTCAACTTCATTCAAAGATATTTGTTGTAAACCATCATCTTCATTATCTACTGGCAATTTATCGTCTGACTTTTCATTGCAAACTTCTTTTATATTCTCATCCATTCTAATATTTTGAGAATTTTCTTCAACCTTACATTTATCTTGTAATACTTTGTCTAAATCAGTCTCAGTGAAATCTACATTAGTTTCTAACAAACCTACCAATGAACGCCTCTTATAAGCTTCTGACTTTCTTTGAATTGGGCTGCTCTCTAATAATTTGGGTGGTATTGCAGATTTTTTATTAATTGCAATATTAGGAGTAGTCTGAGTCAATTCTGACAAGCGTACTTTGTTCAAATGTTTATTATAAATCTTTTTTGATGAATCATAACCACTTTCCAAGACTATCGGTGTTCGTGTAAAATCAGTTGTTGGAGATCTAGGATCAATATCTTGAACACAGTTTTTATTTCTTATGGGTGTTTCATTTTCACAATTTAGTTTCTCTGCAGCAGCAGTCAATACCTAAAAATTAATTAGGTTTTAGTCGGCAATGAAAGGTGATATAAATAAGTAATTATAGTATAAAATATATAAAAGTCTTAGTATAAATTTATCCTTCCAGTATGTCCTTATATTTCTATAGCAGATACAAAGTGACTCCTTCATTTTACACATAAATACCCAACAATACATAACCAAAAATGATATCTTAACGTCCTAATTCTATCAGATAACTTTGTGAGCCAGTTTTACAGTTGAAAACAAGGTAATATGAAATATTGCACGAAAATGTACTTATAGGGACAAATTCAAGATTTACCTCTAATGGAGTTCTCGCTATATTTAAACTTGGTGATCGGGGATCCCACTCTTTATCCATTATCGTTTTAGGAGTTAATATTGGAGTAGATGGTACACTTCCTTCATGTAATTCTTCTTTTGGAATTTCTTTACCAAATTTACTATTTGGCATTCCCATTTTTAATAGTATTCAATGGCAATGTAATTTTAATAATATCTTTTTTTTCATTTACAAGTTTAATATTTGATCAAATGTTTTTTTAAACAAATAAAAACCGTTAAACGACATTTAACTGAACTACGCTGTCAAATCAAGTTAAACGATGTCACTAAATATTTCTGTTATACAGCTACTTACCGTACATTATCATGTTTCTGTGTCATGGTGGATCAGAACAGAACAGAACAGAACTGATTTTTCTTAAATGTGACTGTGATCTTAAACCATTTTTATGTTCTGCGATGTGGAAAGAAAAGTGGCCTTCACATTTCCGGTTTTTGTTTACTGACACGTCTTTCAAATTTTATACAATATACAAATAAATTTTCAAATAAATAAAACAGCAAATGCTATATAATATAAAATAAATAGTTTATTATTACAGAATTTTAACTTCATACTAATAATAACATACTAAAAGACTTTTTATAAAATCAAAATATTTTATTTATATTATGAAAGTGAAAGTAAACTTATCCAGCTTATGCTTATCCTAACCCACAATCTAATTCAGTCAAATTTTAAAAATGGGTCTTAGTGCCACGTTACTTTTAGAAATATCTTTTGTCATCTTATGTTTTCTCCAATATTCAGTCCAACAAGCTACACCACCATGGTATGAAAATTTGCCAGCTGTTGCTATGGATTACAAAGTTTATATAAATCCTGGAAAGGAAGATTGTTACTTCCAATATGTTAACCCAGGAGCTACCTTCTATGTAAGTTTTCAGGTTGTTAGAGGAGGAGATGGTATGGCAGGATTTGCAGGTGAGTACCAAGAATGATCAAATTAGTTTTAATTTAAAAACTCTGTTAAAAACATGCCCATATGTTCAGTATCACATCTTTGTAAGTGTATCCTAACATACTAAATTACATTCAAACCTGGAAATTGTAATGGTCAGTGAATAGTAACACAAGGATAGTTGTTATCAGCCTTACTCTAACTGCTACATTTAAACAAATTTACTTGGTGTACAATTGCATTAAAAAACTAAAACAATACTTCTATCATTTATTACTCAACTTCACTATCTTTGGATCTCTTGATTTTTAGGTTTTTTACTGATCCATGCTCTGATTAGTTCATTCACTATTCATCTGAGAACAAAATAAGAGACCTTTGTTTTTATAGTCTATCCAACTGCCTTTTATTGTATTCTATTTCCATCTAACCATTTATTATTAGCTTTTTATAATCAAGTTAACTGTGAGATTTGACTTTCTTTAAGCTTGAATAGAGACAAAATAATCTTGCATTGTTGTCATCTTGGTCTAATTGCCTGAAACTATGATTTAGCCAAAGTTTTAGATTATAAAGTCATCTAATATCAGTTACAACTCACAAAATCACTCAAGAACACTTTACCCACTATGACATATTTATTACCAGAATTCATTTCTGGGAACAGTCCTACAAAAATCAATGGCTAATCTCTCCATAGAACTACTATTGAACATTGTACTGATTCATAGATACCCTCTTCTTAACAAATAGTCCATTGCCTGTTGCACACAATTCATTGATTTCTTGTAATTTCCCTCCCTTGTGGGCTGAGTTTTCTTTGGGATTGTTTCACTAATTATCTTCCGAACCAATTTTTCCAGATGTTCATCTTTCCGTTTGTCTTCTCTGTTTCTTCAAAATCAGTGGCCTGTGAAATTTGATTGGCATTTTGTGGTTCAAATCAATAACTAGTCGCTACTATTGGTAATACTTAAAAGATGCAGGTGTATAGTTAAAATTAATGGAACATATTCTCAATAATTTTCAATGCAATAAGAGGTTGTCTCCTCTATTGTATAACCTCTACTGCAGTGACATATAGGAAATTGAACTACCTAATAGTAACTTACTACAATTTGCCGATGAGGCAGTGATCTATTTTGGCAAAAATTGATTAAGTAAGTACAATTAACTTAATACAAAGTAGTGTTGGCTAGTGAGTCGATGTTTCGAAGCAATGAGTTGAGTCACAGAATTGTTTCAATGTTTCGGTACATTAAACGTTTACTGTTTCGAAACATCGAGTCAGTACGTGTCATCGTGTCGGCTCCAAAAATCACCTCGACTCTCTCGTTGTTCGGTGTATACTGTGTTGCCAGTTGCCATCTGTGTTGCTATGCTGTTCGTCGTAAATCTTTACTGTTTCGAAACATCGAGTCGAGTCAGTACATGTCATCGTGTCGACTCCAAAAATCACGTCACACTCTCTCGTTGTTCGGTATATACTGTGTTGCTGTGAAAAATAAGTTTTTATTTAACATTTTAAAAAAGAGTACTTATTAGTTAAGATTTGATTTTTATTTTATATTATAATATGTATATCCTAAACCATTTTCAGTATTTATTATTTTATTGTTGTAAAATTATTTTATTTTAGAATTATTTCGTCATTTTTCTTTACATTTATATTTTTTGTTGTTTTATGTTTGTGTGACAATAAAAAATGTTATATTGCTCTGAATTAATTTTAGTTGAAAAACAAAGCTTATTTTAGATAAATGTTCTATAGCAGCGAAAGTAATAGTATCGAATTGTAATTGTTATTTATTCTGTCTGTACTATGTCAAATGCTCTCAGTTGTTCGATTAAATTGTAAACAATTGTTTTTGCTAAATGAAACAACTTTAAAAATATTAAAAAAATTTCTATATTCCAGTCTGTAATAATGAAATGTCATTTTTATTTTAAAGTATTCAATGTAAATAACACCACATAGCACGTACCTATTTTCGTTCTGTAATGATAAGTATTCATTTAAAAATGGTAATGAAGATCTATACTACCGAGAAAAAAATCTAATTAAATAAAACCAGACTAAACATATTTAACCTACACCTAAGACCTAAAACAATAAATTTGTGCTTAACAAGCTCAAATCCCTAATCGTTCAAAAATCCTCACAATGCTTTAACAATCACATTGCTGTCACGTGCCTTACAGAAAATGAATCGGCAGTCTGCACGAAATATGATATCTTTGCATAGCAACCGAAAATGAGTTGTTATGACATGAAGTTACAGTATCGGGTAGAATGTGTCAATTGTTTCAATGTTTAGAATCATTGTTTCGAAACATCAAAGTGAGTCAATTCAAATGATTTGAAACATTCAAATGAGTCATTTCGCCCATCACTAATACAAAGACAGGTGTATGACACAATATCTTAGGCCAATAAATGGCGATTAATAATAAATCCCACTAAAACACAACTAATAATATTTAACCATAGAACTCAAGATCACTCTCTGACTATAATACAAAACCCCCCCAAGCTTTGGGAATCAAATAAAAAAAGATCCTAAAAATATTTCTCGCTCTCCCACTCACGTTCTCTCTCTCCCCTTCTCTCTCTTTTCCGTTGCTTCTGGTTAAGACAACAGCATCACACAACCTATAGCCTCAAATTGCTGAAGTCCTTTCTTACATGGTGGATCCTATCACACAGTTGTGCTCTATATACTTATTCTAGAAGTGCTTCCCTATAGTGTTTTTCCATGCGATTGAATAAAATCTAATAACATTTCTCTTGGACCTAAGGAATCGATCACCTCTTAAAATCACAGCCAAGCAAACATTCTTTTTTCTTCTGTTAGCTTTTGTAACATTGTCAAATTGTATGAGATATGTGGATGAAAATAATTACCATGAAACAGTGACAATTTCAATCTCATATGGAGTACTTCTTTCAGTATTAGACATGAATTTATTGCATTAGACCATCTACATTTTTCTATATTTTATCAAATCTTTTATAAACTTGTTCAATTTTTCCTAATGCATCCACTCCTTCATGGAAATTGCTTCGATCATTTTAGAATCTTCTATGAATTTGTCATCAGTCTTCCTAAAATCTTTGTAAAATTTAAAATTTAACTAGAAACCTTTTCAAAAGTCGCATCGTTTGTTCTAAAATTTTCTTGGATCATCTCCATGATTGGATGGTTGTGGGCTATCTGACAAGTTACACACTAAACAATTGTTTGTAAATGTTTTGCAGTTGTGTTGAATATACTTCAGAGGCCCAATTTATGTACTATTAAATTTCAGTTTATAAATTTGTAAACCTAGTTACCTTGTAAACCAGCGCTCAAATGTTTTGAAGGTTCAACATTGAGCTTTGGGACATGGATCTATTGATTTAGCATGTAGAATATTTAGATAAAAAAATAATTGAGAATTGAAACGTACCAATGGAAAAAAGACAGAATTTGGTACAAAAAGAAAAGGAAAAACAAAGGGTGCCATCTTGTCTTTTTTAGGGGAACAAGGAAAACTTGATACATTAAAATGTTTGTTATTTTTTGCATTGTGACTTAGATTTCATATTGCATTTGTCTTTTATACTCATCGGGAACTGTAATTTTTAATTAAAAAGGGATAATCCTCAAAAATTGGCTGTATACCATATAGTTAAATGAAAAGTAAAATACCTATGTTAAATATGCCAATTACAACAGATGGGTTTTACTTCTATGTTCGAGTTTTTTAATATTTAATTGTTTGTGCCATTGTCAACTTTGATTATGTGCATGTAAATTGTTTTTTCCATACTTTTTCTTATTGTATTACTGTACTGTTTTATATTGTTTGTGATAGTCTAGCTATTTGCTATAAATAATAAAATAGTTGAAATATTTGTTTTATTTTTAGTTAGACATCCCAATGGACAAATAGTTCATCCATATCAATGGCAGGCAAGTAGTGAATATCAAGATCAGCAGTCAGTAGGAGGATATTACTCAGTATGTATTGATAATCAATTTTCAAGATTTGCAGGGAAATTGGTTAACATTTACATGACCGTGGTACGGTATGATTTATGGGAATCATACACAAAAGAAATAGAATCTCTTAACATGAATATGGAGAATTTCACCTCAACTATTGTTCAAGTTGAAATGAATATCAACAACATGCTCCAATATCAACATCATTCAAGAGCACGGGAAGCTTGGGACTTTAATTTACTAAAGGATAACAATTCATATGTAATAAGGTGGTCAATTATTCAAATTATTGTCATTCTAGCAACAACATGTATTCAAATTTACTTTGTTCGAAAATTATTTGACATTAAAACAGGAGGCTCAAGTAGATCAAGAATTTAATTTTAAGTAAAACTTTATTTTTGTTCATGTTACACAGAAGGCTGAAAATCATTTGAATTTTGAATCAAAAAGTCATTTCTAAAGCTGTCATTCTAGCTGTGCATTTATTATGTTCATTATGTTGTTACATTCCTAAGAAGTGGCTTCACATATACTGTTTACACACAGTTCCATATTTCTTCAATATTCATGTATGAAATGAAAGTCTTAAAACATATAATACTGTGTGAATTAATGGAATCAGGCTATTTTAATGAAAACACAGTTTATTTAGAAAAAAATTATATTTTGGCAAAACTATAAAGGTAAACTTTACATCATTTATTAGTAAATATTTTCACCTTTGGCTGCAATTACTGTTTTTACCCGTTTTGGCAGAGATTATATGAGCTTCTGACAGTTCCCAGATATCCTTTCATCTCGAAACCAAACCAGAATCACTGCTTGTATCATTTTTATTTTTGTAGTACAGTCGATTTTGTGCAGTCTAGCTTTGCAAATAGCAATTAAATTTTCAATGGGGTTGAGATCTGGCGAATTAGCGGGCCAATCTAAAACATTAATATCCTTATTTTTGAATAATTCCATCATTTGTTTTGACTTGTGACAGGGAGCAAAGTCCTCTTGAAGAATTGCTCCTCCTTGGGACTGACATTTTTAGAGTTCTGTCAAGCACTGTTCCAACATGGATTTGTATTTTTGGCTGTTCATCTTGCCTTCAATTGGTCAAAGGCATCGACCAAAGGTGATCGACCAAAGATCCAACCATCATGTATGGAAAACATTCCCAAAACATTTTTTTTGACTGTATGTTTTACGGTTTGATCAATATGAGATAGTTTAAGGTTTTTATTATTAGACTTTCTGATGAATTTCGATTGCTGTCCCTGAACTACAGTCCAATGTACTGTCCTGTGTACAGTCCAATGAGAGTATTTTTTGGCCCACAGTAGCTTTGTTTCTTCATTTGTTCAGTTAGCTGGTTTTCTGTTTTGCTCTACCTTCTATCTTTGCTCTTTCTTTTTGCATTGCCCATTCTCCAAAAGTCTTTTTACGAACAGTTGAATCATGAATCACTACACCTATACTACTAGATCTTGTTGGAGCTCTTGGCTTATTTTTCTTGGGTCCAATTTGCTCTTTCGAAGTAAAAATCTTTCATCTGCTGGTGCTGTTTCTCTTTCTTCCGCATTTTCCTAACCTTTTTACATACATTCATCCCGTTTCTCGTTTACGCTTCAAAATCTTGCTTACTACGCCCTGCCTCACTCCACATGTTCATGCGATTTCTCTCTTTGACATAGAAGTGTGTTCGCTTATCCTGATAATTTTTTGACGCTTCCTAGGTGTAATATCCATGATGGAATTAAATGAAACAGACTCACTAATTATAGAAAACAACACAAAATAGTATAAAACAACACAAACTTACTGGGAAATGTCCTAAAACACCCTCAAATAAAAGGTAGAGAAAAGTAAGGTTATGTTTTCAATGCTTAGTCAGTTGTAAATGTGTGGAAAGTCTTGCCAACTGTGAAGATTAAAAAATATCACAATGATTCCATTAATTCGCACAAATATATATATATATATATATATATATATATATATATATATATATATATATATATACATATATATACATATATATATACATATATATATATATATATATATATATATATATATATATATATACACTTGGTTTTGGTTATTTAAATGTTTTAATTTTTACTTTAGTAATTATTATGGCCATATATTACATTTTTTATATTAAAACTCCTTTATTATTTCAATGTCGTTATCTACTTGCTTAAATATGTCCCAACTCTAAGAGCTTCCTTTATAAAGTTCTGGTGTCTTGCCATTTAAAAGTTATTTTAATGCCTCATTTTTTCATATATTTTGAGGTATATGATTTTAGAAATAGTTTCAGCAAATCATCCATACGATTTCTGTCTTTTAATTTTTCTACTCATTTTAGAAATTCCGAACAGAAATTATTAGACAGTGTGGCTTTCTCCTTTTTTTTAATATAATTTCTTCTGTCTCTTAAATAGATAGATAACTTCATGCCTGTACATTTGCTATTCTTTGTTTTCTTGTTACCCACCGCATACTTTTTCTAGGTTTCTATTTTTTATTATTTATGATTATGTTATCATTTCTGTCAGTTAAACTTCCCCTGTGGTATGTACCTATAAGAAATATTCTCTTTTATACCGATGTGCAGAGTAGTATTTTACATAAAAAGCTGGCCCAAAATGGAAATTTAAAAAACTAGCATTTCGGGTCGATTCATATCTTTAAACCAGGTAGCTAGCTGTATGTGACCTCATATGGAACGACTCCTACCTCAAATAATCGTTTGAAACCTGAAACAAATTTTACAGCAGCAACTTCATAATACAGTATCGATGAGTAGAGTGTAACTAAAAACATTAATTTATATTGAAAATCATACAAAAAATTTGATTATTTTTTATTGAAGTTCTGGTAAGTAAGATTTTAAAAAATGGTTCACTATTGAGTACGTACAGCTGCGGTCATTAAATAGTTTACACCCTTACATATCTAGTAGTCAATTTTTTACTTTTTACGTCGTTTAAACGCACATTTTACGTCAAAGTGACGTTACCAATAGCGGACCCGGACGGAATAGGTCGATTAAAATTAAAAAACTATAATAAAATAAATCTACTTTACAAAATCTAACCAAATGGAAGTTAGAGAAAAAAGTTTTTGCTGTTCTTCGAGTTTTGCAATTGCTCTTCTTTGTTGCGCGTGATTCAAATACTGAAATACTGTGAAAAAAAAATATTTTTCAATACGCTTGAAATTTTTCAAGTATTTTGATATTGAGCTAATTCGTACGACACTGCGATTTTACAGTATTACAATGTAAAAATTAAGGTGTAAACCATTCAGTGACCACAGCTGTACCTTCTTCTATATCCATAACTTTCTCCATCACAAAATCACTTGAATTATAAAAATAAAAAAATGTCAAACCGTAGAAAAAAGTTTTGAATAACGCCTGGCCCATAGTGGTTTCTTAATATTGTTTTGAAGCTATTTTCTTGTGGCATTTTAAAGTAATTACTATTTAAATGGGAATAAGCCACAATAAAAGGTTAAAGTAAGTTTATTGACGTTTCAATTTCCACTTCGGAAATCGTTCTCAAAATAAAAAAAGGTTTGTAGGAAAAAGTGTTGTACAATCTCACAACTAAACGCAGCCAAATCGTATTATGAAGGGGTGTTGTAAAGTTTGTTTGGTAAGGCTATTTGGAGTGGGGGTAGTTCCACGTGATGTCACATTCAACTATGTATGTAGTTGGTTTAGGAACCAGAACGGACCCAAAAGGCTAGTTTTTAAAATTTCCATTTTTGACAATCTCTCTATATAAAATATTACTCTGCCGCGATATAATATTGTTCAAGAATATTATAGAATATGTCAAAATCTTATTGAATATAATTATTATATTTAACACTACTTAAGAACAAATTAATATAGAAGAAAAATACACTTTTACTACTTTTAAAATTTAGGAAACATTGATTTTTGACAGCCAAAACATAGAAAGAATCGATAAGTTTAGTACCTTTCTTATTGACCAAATAACAAATAAGATCATGAGGAACAGATTAGAGCAAGGATTGGTAACAGTAATTGAGTTATTAAATTTAAACACATTTTTTAACTCAAATCATATTATGTTAAGATCTTATTTAGAAAACGTCTTGTTGAGTTGTGCCTATCTCTCAAGAATTGGTTGTTAGATTTAACTGTTGTTATGTGAAACAAAAGTAATACGAGACTGTTATTTCATTCTCATAATTACAGAAACAATAAACATATTTTTATGTTGAATAACAATGAATAAAATTTTATTACTATTTAGGGTACGCGCGCACTTGTCCGAACCGGCCGGCAACGGAACGTACAGCTACAGCACGGAATCAAAGTCCGTAACGCGCATTTACCGACAAAATCATATAAGCTCAGTTAGTGGATTTACATTTGTAATGAAATATGGATCCACAATTTATATTGTTAGTTTGCATTGCGAGGAAGAGAAACGACAAAATACACCTAAAAGGAAGCTTAATAAATGTGTGAATGAAATTTGTAAAAAGCGAAACATGTGAATTTGCAACTTTATTTCCTGATTTAATCGATCACCAAGGCAAATTTTATCAATACTTCAGAATGAATTATGACAAATATTAAGAACTTTTATCTATTTTAAAAACCGATCTCCCAAAAAAATACATTTAAAATTCTATTCCGATGGGAAAAGAACAGTTTAGGTTTATGCCAAGAAGAAATATAACGGATGCCTTGTTTTTTTTTGCGATGGTTAATAGAGAAATACGGCGAAAATAGTTACATTTGGTATTTGTAGATCTTGAGAAGATCTTGACTTAAAGTTTTCCAGTGACGGTTTGTTTGTATTAAGGCTCTTCACGGAGTCACTACCTGTTTAATTTTGTTACGGATGTACTGACAAATGAAAGATGGAAAGGCACCGGAACTTGATGAAATACCCGTAGAACTGCTAAAGCTATTAGATGCAAAACAAATAAAAATAATAACTGAAATATTTAATGAAATATACAAGGCAGGAAAAATACGAGTTCGTGCCATTGCAAAAAAACCAGGAGCAAAAGTTGTGAAGATTATAGGACCATAAGCTATCACTGCTGAAGCTGATTTTAAAAGTCATCCACAAAAGAATTTACTGGAAATGCGAGGAACAAATTGCGCCCAATCAGTTTGTATTTGTTAACGCCGTTGGTACGAGGGAAGCTTTATTTAGCGTGCAGGTATGATGGTATGACAGGATCAGAAACGTTTGATTAGGGAAAGAGTCGGGGTGACTATAGTCTCAAAAAATATTCAAGAACAAACACTGCAATTATTTCATCACGTCACGCGTAGAAATAAAAAATATGTGGGACGAAGGATAGAGTTGTTAGGTTGATGGAAAGAGAGGTAGAATAAAACCGAGTAAAGCTGGAAGGACTGTGTGCAGAAGACTTAAGAGAGAATGGATGAAGAAGACCCGATGGACTGAAATGAGTGACGACGAAGAGTAAGAAACAGCGATCCCTGAAAAGTTAAAAGCTAAGGAAGTAGAAAAAGAAGATTCCGCTGAAACCAATAGCTGCGAAAATATTCAATTCCGAGTTTTCGGCGTGAGTTGTTGTGTTACATTTCCGTAAAGTGCGCGATGATCGCCGTGGTGCGTTCCGTTGCCAGCCGGTTCGGTCAATCTTTATGCGCGAGTATATTTAAGCGATTTTTTTTTTCATAAAGTTAACGAATATTAAATTAATCACACGTTGCCACCTCTAGGTTTAATTCTTGGCATGGCAATCAAAAAATATATGTGCTAATAAATCTCTTAGTATCGAATATGTGAATATATTTTTATTTGATGTTTGTGTTCGTCCATCGTCCATTTTAATTTATTAATTTTAGAAATACTTTATTTTGAAAATATATATTTTTATAACGTCCTATACAACGGTATTGTATTTAAATGTTATGTACTGTAAATTGAATTTATGAATTACATAGTTTACTACGGGAAACATGTTTTCAAATGTGGGTCAAAATGGATCTGAGTATATATTTTTGCACTGTATCTGATAAATTATAAATAGAATATCTAATTATATACATATTTACACTGCGCCTCATTAAAAAGAAGCCACCTAAAATTTTGGGCATTTTTTTATTTAAGCAGTATGCAAACATTTCTTGAATAAAAAATCTCAAAAAAAACTTCTGCCAAAATAATTACCATTGTAAATTTTTTGTTTTCTTTATAAAAATTACAATAAAGTTGTGATTTTTAATATTCTGTATTACCACCTCTATTTTGAATTACACTCCTCATTCGACTTAGTATTGAATTGATTAAATTCTGGATGTTGTCTTGAGAAAAAGCTTCCCATTCTTCCATGAGCGCAATCGAAACTGCTCACGATTTATCGGAGCAGACAATCTGTTTCTTACTCTTCATTTGAGTTGGTCCCAAACATGCACAATCGGATTCAAAGCGAGGCTTTGAACCGGCCAATTCATTTTTGTCACACCGACGATTTCCAGATTCCAGGTATTGCGTTACCATTTTGGCTGCGTGTGGCCGCGCGTTTTCTTGCATGAAAATAAAGTTTTCGCTAACAAACCCAACAAAAAGCATTGCATGATCTTAGTAAACATTAGTGAACATTCAACGCTCTTAGTAAACACGAGATCAGTACGACCTTCGAATGAAATGCCTGCCAAAATATTACAGAGCCTCCTCCAATGGCAAAGCGTTCCCCACGTCTGCTGTACGATTTGATGCGACCGTCTGATCCACAAAGAACCATCCTGTACTCATCACTAAACAAAACATTTGTCCAATCTTCTATCATCCAATGTTCGTGGCCTCTAGCAAACTCAAGTCGGCATTGTCGATGTGCTGCTATTAACAAAGATCCTGTTGATGTTCTTTATCTATTGCATATAGTTTTCCTTTGACAGTCGTACAATGTTCTCAATCTCCCTGTTCTTTTAACATAGACTAACTAAAAAATTTGAAGCATTTAGTGAGTAAATATTGAGTTGTTTATTAGTATATGCTATATTTTAATGTCATATTATTTATCATATACAGTGCAGTAGTTTGGATGAAATATATATTTTTTATAACGTATATATAAGGTAATTAAATATTTTTCTGTTTAAAATTGAATTTTGTTGTAATATTTTTTTTTCAAATTATATTTAATATTTTACTAAATGATTTATATTTGTATTCAATGCTGTTTTAGAAATATAAATTTTTGTTATATTTTTTTGCTGTAATGTTATTTCCTTTTTTCCATGGAACCCTTCAGTTGAAAACTGGTCGTACTGGCATCACAAAAGATAGAGACAATCATACTTACAGGTCGAAGAGACAGGAATCATATCCCCTTCATGCTGGAAGAAGAATGTTTTCAGTAAAAAATGTGAAATATTTGGGCGTCATGCTTGATCGTAAGCGAATATTTGATAAACATGTCAAATATATCGCCAATAAGGTTGATAAAAAAACTGCGGCATTAGCAAGAATTTTGCCTGCCATAGAAGGATGCAGAAAAAAGACCATTTTATATGTTTCACCAATATGGCATCAAGTACCTAATAAACAAACAAAAGTATAAATTAATATTGAAAAAACACAAAGAAAAACTTCGTTAAGTGTCGTCTGCTCATACCAGATGGCCTCGGCTGGAACTCTACAGATAATAGCGGTAGTACCAAGAATTTTTAACTACAGGCAAAAGAAAGATCGAGAACATACCGGGCCATATAGTATATATGTTAAACATATAGTAGAACACAAAAGGACTTTCAATAATAGAAAAACAGATTTTATGTACGCACTTTACGTTCTAGATCATAATCATTATTTTAATGACCAATTGCAAGTTCTTTATAGATATTCAAAATAAAGCTATTTTTATTAGAATCTATGTCTTTATCTATTAGAATAATTATACAGTGGTGCTTTAGTGAATATATTTTCTTCATTTAAAAAATAATTGTGAATGTACACAACAAAAATATGTAATTTAGAGTCTCTAAAAGGGGATGAAACTTGGATTCAGTTTTTGAGGGGATTGTGTTTACTGCTTGACGGTTTTATTTACCCATTTTCAATGTTTTTCTGGATTGTATAAGGCCGCCTTCCTAAAGATTTGTTTGTTATATTATATTGGTTGAAAAGTGTTAAGGAGTTACATTATGAGCCATTATCTTGACATATTGTGAGATCTTCCTGTGGCATAGTTGGGAGTCATTGGTTGGTTTTTCCAGCAACATGAGTAAGTAAATAGTCGATTTCCACTAAATACAAGGGTAGTATCAATGTATATAGATGTAAAAATCGTTTTTTTAGTTTAATTATAATTTCTTGTTGATCACTATTTTTAAGATTATTTAATTTGTTAGTAGGTATATGTTTCTATAATATGATTAATGTCACTGATCAATGTATTATGCTTATAGCAGTAATTTCTGATGGAAGTTCAAAGGATTTTTTGTTCATTGACTTAATGCATGCATTAGGAATTCCTTCGATAGGTTTAGTTGGTCTGTTAGGACATTTAGGTGACCTTGCTTGATCGCTTGGTGGTATTCATTGTGTGACAAAAATTTTTTTGAAAGAGAAGAGGTGCACATTTGTGCTGGATGTTTTCCTTAGCATTTCCTACAGCTTATTGTGGTGCAGTTTTCTATTTTGTGTGGGTATATAATAAATATTTGAAACATGCCATAGGAGAAGATTTAGGAAGAGGGATAGGATTCAGTAAAATTTTAAAAATATTTCTAAAAAATGATATTTTATTTAAACTCTTTACTCATGTGACACAAAAATTATAGATATTAAACAATTCAAAAATAAATAATATTCATATTTTCAATCATCATCAGACTCCTCCTTTTTTGCTTCAGCTTCAGTATCTTGCTTGTAATGCCTATACTCAGGTTTAAGTTCCCACATGTTTTTATGAGGATTCTTTAAATTATAGTTGCAGACTTCTTTTAAAATCTCTTTTAAATATGTGATGGGCTGCTTAGTAATTTTTACTAAATCCTTTATGTTATAATACTGGTGCTTTTCAAAAGCTGCAAATAGCATATCCAAAACAGCTTCTTTGTCATCACGAGCCTTTTTACCTTCAGCTTTCTTCCTTTCCATGTACTCAATCTAGAAATAAAAGTGCAAAATATTAATTCATGTATTTTATTCTAATATGTTACCTATATCTTCATAGTAATACTAAAAAACTTACATTATTTTTATGATCAGATACTGGCTTGTATGTTTGTACAACCCTATCTAACTGTTTCACTTGGCGAACTGGTAAAGAAGCTTTCCTAATAGATTCTAACTTCAACTTCATGTAACAATTATCTGCATATGGCCTACATTCCAATTTTTGTACTATTTTGCCTTCCATGTGTAGCTTCTCAGTCTCAGGTACCACAGAATCAATATTAGTTGCTAAAAATTATAATAAGAATATTTAAATGTAACATTATTTTTTTTTATTTTGCCATGTCTGAAATTTATTTCAACTATTTGTTGTTTATACAAAAAAGTAAAAAGTTTGTAGTCAAAAAATATCTAATGCAGGGCCGTCGAATTGATAGAATCCCAAGGATGAGTGACCACTAAGTGTTGGAGAGTTTCAGGGTTGTGATTGGCTATCTGCAAAGTTACATGCATTTGAAACCAAACGGGATAAGCTGTGTACACAGCACAGCATAATTCAATGAAATCAGTTTGTGTTAGATTTTCAAAAAACTATGTTCATACTACATAATCAATAATATATTGTAAATATCATACTCCATTATTACATGATAGAGTTGAAGTTTTGAATGTTTATATTATGGGTTTTACCGCATTTACAGTGATAATTATTGTATCTCTTCTTAAGTAGTGTAAATTGGACTTGTGACATTGGGGATTGCAACTCGTAACCAGTACATGGTGTTCATGTGATAATTATATATTTTCGATAGCCCAACTATAGGGGTGAGAGGTTGGCAGTCTGGCAGCTAATTTGAGGGAGCATAGAGTTGGCCCAGAGATTGATAGAATTAAAGGAGATTTGGTTTTCAAAATTTGCAAAAGTTTTTGGTTATTTTAAACTTTTCTTGTGGCATGTTTACGTTAAATATTATTTTATACATGTCACAAAGGTATTGTCTATTGGTATTGTCTACAGGTATTGTCTACTAAAATCTTCACTAAACTAAACTAGCAATTACTTAAATATAACTAATTACTAGAAACTAAGATACAACTGGTAAAATGGAAACATTTACTGTTATATTAACAGATTTGTTGTCAAAACAAACTGAACAAAGTACAATATAAAAATGAAAATGACCAGCCATAATTATTAAAAAAGTAAATCGTAATTATTAAATATTATGATTAAATATATTTGAAAGATTATAATAAATCTACATAAAATTAACATGTAATTATTAAGATAGTTAATACAACTCTTCAAACAGAAACTTTTGTATTGCATTGTTATGACATAGCTCTTGTCAAAATAATTACCTCTACCATATGTGATCATATTATGTATAATTAGAAATGTGAGATCAAATCTTCAACTTACGTATAACATGTGAAAAAACACCCAACGTTTGTTGAGTAACTGTAGATACATCTAATCTATGATCCTTTGGAATACTTTCCTGTCCAGGCTCATTCAAATTAAGAATTGCTGAAGATAATGTAAGAGAAACTTGAGCCTTTTGTCCCACAGGTCTAAAATTAAATAATTACAGGAGTTTATTTGTCTAAAATATTTATTACTCACTTGCTAATTTTTAGTTTACCCACTTCCATATCTCCAGAAGCTTTTTCCCATCGTTCTGAAACATATTTTGGAACTTTAACCAGCCAAACACCTCTGTTGGCATTTGATAAATCCAAATCTCGATCAATATGAGTATCTTTAGACATTTTATTTACATTAGTTGAAATACATATAATTAAACTTGTTACACAAATGAATCTACAAATATGTTTTGCAAACGTTAAAATTTTCCAATAAAATTCAGTGCTGCGATTCTATAAGTTCAACGCGAAACAATTACGTTCGTTATTGGACGGTTTGGTCGGTTTGCTATTCTGTAAGCTCATTCGGGAAGAATCGGAAAAGCCTATCACGAATCCGATTACAAAGCGACAGCGATGAATTTTGGCTTGCGTTTTGTTTCGCTTTCGATAGTGATTGGTCGATCATTTTCACGTGGTTCTGTGGTTCACGTTTTGGTATAGCAGGGATATTAATAATTAATAATATATTTGACTATGTTTTAAGTCATGTGTCATGTTATGTTAGTAGGGTTAGTAGTCTTTTGAATCCATTTTACTTTTAAGCGTCACGTCGGTACAATTTAATTTATTTTGATTAAATTAATAATTTTGACTGTGCTTCGATATGGAAAAAAGACTAAAAACACATCCATCTCAATGGGCAATTTTTTTGGACTTCGCAGAAACAAATCCCCAAATTCTAACAAAAAAATTTGATGGGGTAAATGGCAGAAAGAAATATGTTGAATTATGGGAAGAAATAACGGAGATACTTAACAGTATGGGATACCTAAAAAAGTCTGTGGATAAATGGCAAAAGGTTAGTTATTTATTTATTAATATACGAGATTACCTCCCATTACAAAAAAATATGTTACCATATAGAAAAATCAAACTCTGTAATTACTCACAAGCTAAATGAAATTAAGATCTTAATTATAAATAAAACAAAATAATTATACATATAAACAAAAAAGTACCTCTAACTAAACTTATCAAGCTTTTTTTATCCGATTTTTAAATGAGGCCAATGAGACACCAAACATTTCTAAATTGTTCCTATTTATAATTTTCAGTGTTCTCTTAATGGGAGAATGCATACCATAATTTGTACTCTCAAAAGGTATATAAAACACTTGTTTTTCTCATAATCTAAATGTTGTTTTTTAGGCAGTGGCAGATTGGAAATCTAAAGTTAAGTCAAAGGCGGCAGAGCTTAATAGAGGATTAAAACAAACAGGAGGTGGAGGACCACTCCCTCAACTAAATGAAAATGAGAAGCGCCTAATTGAAATTCTAGGGTCATCATTTATTACTGGGGTACAAACCAATAAAGAACTTGGCTTAGTAAGTTTTCTTTGTATTCCTAATACCAATGGTAGTATACCTTTGTAATATAGGACGTACAATAATAAGCAAATACGCAAAGTTACAAAGGAATACTCCAACTTGCAAGTTTAGGTACATTTCGCAATTGATTTGTAATACAAGCCCAATATTTTTGCATGAAAAAACTACAAACATTTAAGTTTGTTATTTGAGGTGTTAAGGAAGTGACGAAATGGTCACATTTGTTTCAGTCTGGAGATTTTCTTTGTTTTTGAGATATTGTTATTTATAAATATTGTCCTCTATCTTGTAATTTCACTGTTAATATTGTTAAATATTTTAGGACCAAGAAATGGAAGTACTCCAAACTCACGCAACTCCTGCCTTAACAATAAACAAAAACATAATGACCCAAGTTCCGTGCAGAATTTCTCCACCCCCTCTGTCATATGATGCTTATACCAGAGAACATTCTTATTCAGCATTAAATGCAACTGCGGAAAGTGTAGTAAATGAAAGAGCCATTTCACCACTGAAACTACAAGAATCTACTCCCAAAAAAAGGAAATGCGGATGCACCAGTACCACAGTAACACAGAACACAGTAACACAGAAAATACCTTCTACAAATTTGACAGAAATGCACAAAGAAACACTCATGGTCTTAAACCAAATTAGCAAAAATATTGAGAAAATGGCCAATTCTCAGGAAAGATTAGCTGAAGCAATTGAAAAGTTAATAAACAGTAATATTTAAATTACAAATGTGGTTTAGCAATAACTATTGGAGATTAAGTTTGTTTTTTTTTTCTTAAATATTTCTAGATAGAATGTAAGATATAGACTAAGTAGATATTAGGTTGTTTTGTTTATTTAAAAAAATTATATACATATTTAAAAGAATTACTTTTGTTTATGATCAATTTATGTTTATTAAACTTGCTGGGTAATATACTTGCAAAATATTGCATGTTTATTTTTTGTTGTTTTTAAAATTATAAGTACATAGTACCTACAATTAAGTACCTACCTATCTTTTTTTAGGAAAAAAATTACTATAAAGTTAGAAAAAATATATTGTACATTTAGCATCTCTCATGCCATTCATACATAATAAGTCTTAACAACTTATTTTTATTTTTAAACTAAACAAGGTTTTATATGATAATTATTGATTTATTAAAGAAGTACAAAAATTAGTTATTGAAAATATCTATTAATTAAAGTGGCTCTAGTTTGTCTTCCTCCATTGTCAATTGGCAAGTCAAGAACTTCATGATTGTTGTCATTTTGCTCATTACCTTCTATAATTTGAAGTAGTGGAACTCTTGACCTAATACACATGTTGTGAAGAATACAACAGGCATTGACAAGTATGCATACCTTTGGTGGCTCATATCTTAACTCTCTTTCACCCAAGATACAACGGAATCTTGACTTAAGAACTCCATTTGTTCTCTCTATATGATTTCGCCCTGAGGCGTGGGCTTGATTAAACCGTTCTTCAGGTGAGTTTGGTTGGGCTCCTGGCACAGGGGTCATAAGCCACGGTTGTTGGGGATAGCCTGAGTCACCTAGCAACCATGTGTTTCGATCTCCATTTTGGTAACTATTTTGCAAATAAGTTTTAATGACACTTTGTTGCCATATATAGCTATCATGGCAACTTCCAGGAAAACTACTGTTGACATTTAAAATAAACAGATTTGTATCACAAATTAATTGAACATTCATCGAATGATAGCCTTTTCTATTCAAATATGCATGTTCTTCTGCCTTTGGTGATATAATCCTAATATGGGTGCAATCAATTGCTCCAACTGTACCAGGAATCCCACAATATTCAAAAAACTCTCTTTTTTTTCTGGCCACTTCCTGAGCATCAGTTGGAAATTTGATCCACTCATTTCCAAAATGGCCAACTATAACTGATGCTACCTCTTCAATGCATCTACTCACCATTGGTTGACTGACAGCTACAAGATATTCTTGTCCTACAGCCCTTTGGTAGCTACCAATTGCATAAAATCTTAATCCCACAAGAATCCTTTGTTGATACTGAATTCTTGATGTTCTTACACCATCTTCCATAACTTCCCGTAGCTCATCAAAAAGGAATCGAACTAGTTCTTTGCTTAAGCGGAAAATTTCAATAAACCTTCTATCTGTTAAACCAAATGGGTCACTTCTATCTCGAAGGAACTTGCTTTCCTCGCGCGTTAACCGCAGTTGGTTTCTTCGCTCGAGTTCTCCATATAGAACAAACTGCACCGGCAACATTTTTATTAAAATATAACAAAAATATACTATATTCAAGGAAATAATTCAATCAAATTTGTGGTTATACATGTAACTCTCAAGTTACTCTTCTTCTCTCTTTACTTTTTACTTCTTCTTTTTTTACTTCCTGTACATATATTTCCAATGTTGCCATAATTATTTATTGATAAGTCGTTTAAACTCGTATATTATCGTATGTCGCTACGAAAACGAAGCGAAAGCGAAAACTAACGTTATAGAATATGAACATAAATCAACTTCGCTATCGTTTAGCTTCGTTTAGCATATCTTTCGCGATAAAAACGAAAATTATAGAATCCGCCTGCAGGACTCAGGCACTTCGTTTGTCATTGGTCATTGTCACCTATATGTCATTCTCTGCTTCTTTTGAATTTTTATTATGGCCTTTATTTCTTAGATACATAGTCATCATGATTTGAAAGGAATTGATACAGTTATAAACAAACATTATAAAAGAAGATTCTTAAAAGAAGAAGATTGTAACCTTTAAATTAAAGTTTAACCTCTTTTCTGTCAAATTAAAGTCAAAACAAACAAAGTGGTTTTAAATCAAAGTAACTACTTTAAAATGTCTTTATTTAAAAAACCTAAGAAAACCATACAACGAAGAGTTTTTACAGAAAATGACGATGAAGATGATGATGTTACACAACCTATGGAAGTTTGTCAATCTATTCCCGTTGAAAAGAAATCTAAAAAGAAAGACAAATCTTCAAAAACACCAAAAACTTTGCTAAGTTTTGATGAAGAAGAGGAGGGAGAAGTTTTTCAAGTTAAGAAGTCGTCTCACAGTAAAAAGGTGTTACGTATGTTCGAAAAAGAAAAGAAAAAGAAAGAATCTAAACAAGAAAAAGAAGAAATAAAATCTAAAGAAAAAACTGAAATTGTAACTGACGATTTTGTATTAGTGGTTAATGCTAGCCACAAAAAACCTCCAACACCTCCTCTAATTCTTAGTGGTAGAGATGCCCTATGTGCAGGTCAGATATATTCAGTAACAATCTATATTGACAAAACTTTTTGTACCAAATTTAAAACAGTAAACAGAATTTTTAAGAAGATCTTTGAATTATACCATTTTTTACAGTTGATTAACACATCTAAAAATCAATTTATTTATTTAGGTGCAGATGACCTGTCTTCAGAAGAAGATGAACCACAGAATCATAAATTCAATAAACCTGATAACTTTAAAAGGATTTTAGAATCTGGTGCTATTCCTGATGCAGCAATGATTCATGCAGCTAGAAAACGTAGACAAAGGGCAAGAGAACTAGGCGACTTTATACCCACAGAAGAGGAAGAACCTGAGGATAAAGGCAGATTGTTAAGGGAAGATGAACATGAAGGTGAGTACTCAAATAGTTTATTGTGTTTAAACAAAATTGTAAACAATAAATCAATGTTTAAGCTGTAAATATTTTTTTGTAAATAAAAATGCAATGAAAATGCAAAACATAAGTAATTCCAAACTTTGCTGAAAGCAAAAAAGTTAAATAGTTTGGAGGAAAAACACTATACTCCATTTGTAGGTAGCTATCTAGATAAATGTATGGTTTATGAACAAAAATTTTCATTTTACAAATTTGACACCTTGTAGCTCAGAAAAAGTAGCCTTGAATATATTATTGTTAAGTAAAATATATAAATAAGTATAAATTACTCTAGTATCTCATCCAAGCCCATCTTCTCAAGAATTTCCATAAGATTGTTAAACGGAACTATGTCACAAGCTTTTTATAATAGATGAAAAAAGTATAAATATCACGAAAATGCTTAACTAAAATGTGTAAGGCGAATAAAGCTTCTATATAAAAACATTTCTGAACCCCAATTATTTGGCTCATATTTTCTTCTCAATTTGTGATAAATGATATGTGAAGAATTTTTAGAAGCAGCTTCACAATCTTCTCTATTTTGAATATGACCTAGGCTGGAATGCTAAATATACTTTTAATATTTCTTTCAAATTTTAGGTAGTGATGAAGAAAGAATTGACATGGACATAAACTTAAACTTAAGAGATCAGGAGAGAAGACGTGAACAATTTTTAGCTGCTCAAGAATCAGACCATGAAGTTTTAGAATGGGAAGACCAACAAATAAGAAAAGGTGTAACCGGAGCTGCAATGGAAGCTGCGAGGGAAATGTTTTATCCAATGGAACCTCCCTCTCCTCCGCGCATATCTGCCCAGGTAAATTTGATATATTTTTAACTGTTGAATACAGTGTGAATAATAGTAAATAGAACCAATTTTCTTATTTATATATGAACATTTTGTGCCAACAATTATCATCTTCTAGGTACCATTTATTGAACCTGGTATTCCAAGAACACCACAAATGATTGCTGAAAAATTACGAGAACAGTATGAGAAAATAAATCAATCCAGAGCAAATCATGAAGCCCAGTTGGAAAAGACAAGAAATGACATACAAGAAGCTATGAATGAGCTAGATGAATTAAAAATTAAAGCACCAGATGCAGCAGAACGTTTTAGATTCTATCAGGAATTACGAGGTAAAAATGAATTCAATAATAATGATATACCTAATTGATAAACTCAAAATGTTTTTGTTATTAAGAACATATTTACATAATTTCATAAATATATCTTAGTGATCAACCTACGCCTAATGAGCAAATAATTAAAAAAATGGTTGGTGTTTTGAATAAATCTTTGTGAAGTTTGATTACCTTGTGATTTAACAGCATCCTTACTCATCTAAAAATATTAACTTTTAAAGAACATTTATCATATTTATTTAAGAAAAACTTACCAACACATTATCTGATAGAACAAATGGAAAACTTTGATTATCCCTAATAATAAAATTCAAAATAGAACTAACTAATTAACTAAATAGAACTAACAAAGAATTAAACAAAAATAATAGAACAATAAAAGAAGAAGCAAGGTTTTTGTTAATTAATTTACAGTCAATTGGTTTGGTAAAATACAAATGTTGTATGCATTAGTTAAAATAAATAGTTCTTTTTAAGGTGCAGTATTGAACTTTGGGCAAATTAGGGAAAATGGTGAGTTTTAAGGCACTTTTCAAACATTTTTGAGTGCCATAAAGACATTCAAAACTTTTTGTCTAGCAATGAAAAAACAGAAAATTTTAACCTCACTGGTATGATGTTTTTTCATGGGTTTGTATGCTTCCGGCTTTGCCTATGAGTTTGGCGAGGGTTTTTCGCGACAAGGTATTTAGCTGTCATCTTTTTATTGTGATCACATTTTTCATTAGAAAATAAAACGCAATACTTGTATGTATTGCGAAAATAAAACGCAATATAACAGTCCCTTTCAAATGTGCGAAAGTACCAACCAACTCCTTTGTTCTAAGTGCTGGTGACCCAAGTAACGCTTTACTTCTTTTTTATTCTTTGTGTATACAGAACATGGAAATTGATATGATTTTGGCTGCCAAGGTCGTTCTAACAATTGACACTATGTAACATGATCAACATTTTGATTTATATGTCCACTCTTGAAGCTTCAGTTACTGTTTTTGTTCAATTCTAGTCCAGAATACATATTTATCCTTTGATTTGTAATCTGAATATACGTCATTGCTAAGTTCAGTAAACTTAACAAATGTAAAAGTACAAAAATAATATAAGAATAGTAATAATAATAATAAAATAATTAAACTATAATTATTGACATGATAATCAGCAACCAAATTGTTCATTTTTATGTTAAAATTTATTCCGTAAAGAAGATAGAATTTATCATTTTCAATTATGATGAGCTAATTATTGGTAAACAATGATACTTCAAATAGCAATCATTAATAACTGTAATATTACTTATTAATCTATTAATATATTATTGCTTCTATCAGTCTTTTTTAAATCTATGAATATTTACTATTCAATTGGTAAGTTTGTATTGTAATACCATTAATTTCTATAAATTATAATTTTAGGATACATAACTGATTTAGTAGAATGTCTGGATGAAAAAGTAGGCGTTATTTCAAGCTTAGAACAACGAGCCTTGGATCTAATGGCTCGCAAGTCAGAATGGTTAATAGAAAGAAGAAGACAAGACGTTCGAGATCAAACGGAAGAAGCTACAAATAAGGGCGTAATCATCAAAAAAGGACTAGAAGATGAAGAAAAGCAAAGAAGGGCTGCTGAAAGGGAAGGTAGACGAACCAGAAGAAGAAGAACGAGAGAATCGGCTGGTGTCCCTAAACACGTTGAAGGTATGTGTATAGTTGTGTATAGTAAATGTAAGATTCGAGTTTTGAAGTTTTATCCTGAAATTTACTCTGCAAACGTTTCAGTGTCTAATAATGATCGCAAATGGTTTGAAAGAACTCCCAAACGCAGTTTGGTTTTAGTAATTGTCTTTTTACACGAGAGGCACACTTTAGTATTCAGATTTTGAGCAGGTACGGAGCTTTAACTGTATTTGTATGCTTTAGTGACTTGAAAATGAGTTTTGGCAAAGGTAGACATTAAAAGCTTTTTAAAAACGTGCATCTACATGACAAATATACTCATTTAATAATAAACTTTTACACCTAGCAAGAAGCCAATACTCATTTCGGACAGGACATGTCTTCATAGTTTTCTGTAAAAAGAGAAGTGCGTCAGAGTTGCATTCTTTCATCAATGCTATTTAATATTTACTTCGAAGAATTACTCAAGGAAGCACTCGAAGAAATACAATATGCAGATAAGAATTGCTGATGGCATAGTGTAATTGCTTGGTTGATATAAGCGAGTTGTATGAATAGCATGAAACTTTACTGTAAACAAACGCATATTCTTATTGTGAAAATAACATATATAGATAACTCATTACTGCGTTAATGATGTGACCCCGTCACAAACAGAACGGATCTACTACATCAGATGTAACCTAAATCAGGATTTAGACCATTCGTACGAGATGCTGTATAGAGACGGCTAGAAACACATATCGCATCCGAAGTGTACATTCAGACAATTTAAGTCCTTAAATGGGGACTTAAGGGTGTTATGTCTGTTCAGTACTTCTCTGTGGTGTTACAGCTGTACGTTCATAATATCTTATATTCTGAAGGTGCTTATAAAAACAGGACTGTTGATCAAAAAGGCCCTAGCAAACCTTTCTATCTTCTATTGATTGCCAAATTCTCCTTAGCTATAAATCTCCCGAGGAATAGTAATTTATTTATACTTACAAATACTGCAAACTTTTTATACAGTTAATTCTACAGCTCTGGATTCCAATAGTAGCACTGTTCTCACTTTCATTTACACGATTTGTTACAAATTAAAATTTTCTTTCACTCAAAAAAAAAACTACCGGCACTATATTATTTCTTCTCCTGGATTCGATGTTCTCTCGCTTAAAGTCAAACAACAGATGCCGATTATTTCGGCTTCTAAACATTTCCTCCCATCTGCCAATCCCTTACATAATTTATTTTTAACCATTCTCCTTTCCAGTTAACCGTTCACTATTTCTCATTAAAAAACCCACTTCTCAAAAATCTTCTTTCAAATTCCATAATTTTGTACAAAACATACAAGACAAAAGACACTTTCTACCTTTAATGACCTGATTTGTTGATAACAAACATTAATCCTTGGGTGGGTTATTGGTCACAAAAGTGGAGAAGAAAACAAAGGATCTTACTATTTCATCCTTTACCAAAAACGTTTCGTATATGAATCCATACACATCATCAGGTCAATCTAAAAGTACATTGATAAGCTTACAAATATAGAGAAAATATCAAAGAAAAAACTTAGTCTCTTTCGTTAAGAACTTGATGTCAACATCTCAATTAGTTTTTATCATATAAAAATAAAAAAAAATTGGAATATTTTCAGAAAAAAAACTACATTTTTGTATTGGTGCATGTTTTCCTTATTTTTTTTTTAGTTTCAAAGTAATTTTGAGAAAATGGAAAAATTTTATTAAATAACAATTTTTTTTTAAATCTACGCATTTTAAACTGGTTAAATTTTAGGATACGTTGTTGATACATAAATAAAGCTAATTTTTGCGTGGAATCAGATTCATTTTCATGTTTGTGGAAGAGCCAATAATTTAATTTCTTTTTTAATGAGATAATCCTTTTGTTTTAATAAAAACTCAGGTATTTTCCATCCGAATCGCTTATATTAGTGATCATTTTAAAGATCTCATTAAATACTTTTAAAAACAATTTAAACATTTTTTTGAAAAACCTCTTCTTTTAACGTTATTTAATGACAAAAGTTTCGATTGCAGGTTAATTCAAATAAACCCTCACATTTAGGTTGTACCTCGGGTTGTATAGCCTCGATTAAATAAAAAATACCATTTGATTTGTTATTTTGAAAGGTTTTTTTATTCTTATAACTTCGTTAAAAGGATATTTGTGATAGTGTTTTTGAATATTGTTGAAAAACCACCCAAAAACATGCTTTTTTTATAATAATAACTTGGAAAATATATTTAACTTACCAAGAAAAGTCTGTATAACATTTTTTATTATAAATTGAATTTTTTTACTCACCCAACAGAGGTGAAAGCACACATTGGCATTATATAACTTGCATTATATAACTGAGCAAAAACCGTGTAAGAATGGACTAAACGCCAATTAAATATTTTCTCTATCCATATTGCTCTAAATGTACAGCGTATAAAGTCCTCACGTATATTATAAACCAGCGACTCCAACCACTAGCAGAAAATATTATTGGAGAATATCAGACGGGCTTCAGACGGGGAAGATCGACAATGGATCAAATATTTACAGTCAAGCAGGTCTTGAGCAAATCGTGGGAACACGACATTGATGTTCACAACGTGTTTGTAGACTTCAAACAGGCATACGATTCAGTCAAGAGGGACAGACTATTCTATATATTGACAGAATTAGCAATACCACATAAGCTAATTAGACTCATTAAAGCCACAATGGATGAAACTCAGGCATGTGTACGAATACAAAACAACCGGACAGACTTTTTCAAAATCTCGCAGGGACTAAAGCAGGGAGATGGGCTGGCACCAACATTGTTTAACCTGGCACTGGAGTATGCGGTTAGGCAAATGCAAACTGGACGAGAAAACCTACTGACCAATAAAACGGTTCAACTGGCTGCCTACGCCGATGATATTAATATTATGAGTAGAACATCAACAGGAGCACAGGAAGCATACGCAAAGTTAAAAACACAAACGAAAAGGCTAGGTCTGGAAATTAACACAGAAAAAAACAAAAATAATGGTACAGACGAGAAGAAATATAATCCCACAAAACATTATACATGAAGATGACATTGAAACGGTTGGAAAGTTTACATACCTGGGAGTAGAAATATATGCCGATGGAGCAGAGGATGGAGAAATACGAAAAAGGATAACGCAGGCAAACAAAGCTTATTTTGCCCTCTCCCATATATTTCGGTCTAAAAGTGTCCACCGAAATACAAAGATGAGAATCTATAAAACTTTAATTCGGCCAATAGCATGTTATGGCAGCAAAGCATGGGTCCTGAAAGAAACATCCAAAAACAAACTCGACACATTCGAAAGAAAAGTACTGAGGAGAATACTAGGACCTGTGAGGGAAAACGGAATCTTCAGAATTCGATATAACAACGAGCTCTATCAACTGTATAAGGAAACACCCCTGTCAGACTTCATTAGAATACAAAGATTGCAATGGGCCGGACATGTGATACGAATGGGAGAGGATAGGCTACCAAAACGAGCACTGAACGCCAGAATGCAGGGAAAGAGACCAGTTGGAAAGCCAAGAAAGCGCTGGGAAGACACAGTAAGCAGCGACGCACAAGCACTTTTAGGAGTCCGTGTATGGAGAAGAGCAGCCACAGACAGACAAGGGTGGAGGCAAAAAATAAAGGAGGCCAAGGCTCATTTTGGGCTGTAGTGCCGTAGAAGAAGAAGAATATTGCTCTAAAGCTATTTTCTTGTGGCATATTAATACAATTTAATAGTTTTATTGGGAATAAGCCACAATTGTACTTAATTTTGACGTTTCAATTTTTACTTAAGAATTTTTGGCAACGATTTCCGAAGTGGAAGTCAAAATAAACTTAATTAAAAGTAAAATTGTGCAATTTATTATCTAGGACTCTTTTCAATAATCTTTTGCCCCCCTTTCGCACGAAATAACCAGTCCACGAAATCTCTGAAGTTTAAAATGAAATATTTTAGAGAACGGTTAATTTTTCTCGAGATTTCGCTACCGACCTAGCCAATGATGGAAGATTCGAAGTTTCCGGGTCTCTCTTGATTATATTGCCGTTACACCTCCCGATTATCTGATAATATACTTTCTTTAAATACTGTTTACTCTGTTTATTGTAAATATATTTTAATCTGATCCGATACATAGACATTTATTCTTGTAGGTATGTCCAGCGATGACGAAATTTCGCAGCAGGATAACTTAGTTTTCGATAAAGAACGTGAACAGATCCAATCAGAAATTCAAGAAGTGTTCGAAGACGTGGTAGAAGAATATTCTTCGGCAGCTAGCATTCTTATTCGATTTGAACAGTGGCGAACAAGTGATATTTCGGCTTATAATGAAGCGTATGCTACAATATGCCTTCCGAAGGTAGTCAGTCCTCTAGTTAGATTAAATCTTGTCTTCTGGGATCCACTGAACGAGACTTCCGAATTAGAGAAACTCGAATGGTACAGAACGTTAGCGTTATATGGTTTGCATGATGATGAAACTGAAGAAAGCTTATCTAAAGATCCAGATATTTCTTTATTACCAACTGTTATTGAAAAGCTGATAATTCCAAAATTGACTCAACTGGTCGATAGGTGTTGGGATCCTCTGTCAAGTTCACAAACATTAAGGTTAGTATGATGAATTGTTTGGATATGTGAGTATATCCCCTACTGACTTATTTTTTAATTTAATTTATAATACAGGGTGAGTCAATACTATACTTACTAATGTTTATGCGTTTTTATTCATATCTCAAGTTTGACAAAAGCTATTAACATGCTGTTTGCGCCATTTTGTTATAAATTTAATCCAGTTATTATTATTTATTTATTAACGGATATACCATTTTTACATTGGAATAACATATAATATATAAAATTTTACAAAGTAAGCACAACATTGGAAAATAATAGTAAAGTTTAACAAAACTAATAATTAACTTGAATACAAACTAATATCAAAAACTAATAATTAACTTCAATACAAACTAATATTACACAAATAGCAGTCTCTTTATCACATTTTTAAATTGTTCTAAGGACTGGAAAAATAAGTCCAGATCACTTTGGTACCTATTATATAGTCTCAACATATTAGTAAGAGGCTTGAAGTATTCATAATTAAATTGATGAAATGGCAGATGAAACAATGAAGTATGTCTAGTTCCATGAAGAGTGTTAAGACCTAATCGATTTAAAAGTTCAGGGCAATTTATCAAATTATTAACAATTTTATAAAGGAATATTAGGCAAAAATACTCTTTTCGCTGATTCATGGAAACCATTTTCAAGTGATCAGCTATCATACTATAACTGTATGGGACAGAAAGGTCATGAAAAGCACTACGGTAATGATAGTGTTTACAAAATTTATGCTGAACACGATCAAGCTTGTCTATAGAGGTTTGATAGTAAGGTCCCCATACAACTATTGCATATTCTAGTCTGGAACGAATGAGACTCTTAAAAAGAATTGGTAAGACAAAACATGAAAATTGAGAAGTGTTTCTAGTTATAAACTGGGTGTTACCCACAAGAAAACTATCATACCAATCAAGCCATTTGCCAGCTATACCAATGGCTCCTAATTTACTGATTAAATAACGATGATTTACTTTATCGAATGCCTTTGAGAAGTCAGTATAGATGCTGTCCACCTGGTACTTCCTCTCAAAGGCACCCAATATATCATCTTGGTAGACCAACAAGTTTGACACTGTGCTCCTCCCCCTTTGAAAGCCATGCTGTTGGGGTATTATTATATTGTCTGTTAGTTTTGATAAGTGAGAAGTCACTAGTTTGTCGAGAAGTTTTGGGATTGCTGACTGTATACAAATTCCTTTGTATTTTTCAATATCCTCTCTTTTACCTGACTTAAAAATGGGTACAATATAACTGTTCTTCCAGCAAGGAGGGAACTCACCAGTCATAAGAGATAAATTATAAAGATATTTTAGGGGAATAGTAAGAGAGCATAGACAGTGCTTTAATAATACCGGTGGGACTCCATCAGGTCCTGAGGAGAATTTGTTTGGAAGTTTACTTAATTCATCAAACACTGATATAGTGTCAACTTGAATTAGGTTTACATGGTCAATGTGTCTGACTCAGTCTTTAAAATCTGGAATGGGAACACCTTTATCTTTCTCATATACACCAGAGAAGAATTCAGCAAAAAGGTTAGCAATTTCGATGTTGCCCTGTGCCCTTCTGTTACCGAGATACATTTCTTGGGGGTAACTCGAAGATTTACGAAGTCTGCCAATGTATCCCCAAAATTCCCTGGGGTTATTACTAAAATTATTTTCAAGAGATGAAAAATGTTGTTTCTGACAAAGTGTATGTTCAACTTTACATTGATCACGTAGATTAGAGAACAATAAGTAGTCCTCATTTGAATTAGATAATTTAAACCTCAGATGAGCTTTTTTCTTTTGAATAATAAGATCTTTAAGTTTTATTGAGAACCAAATTGGGGACTTGTAGGAACACTTGACAGCCTTCATAGGAACAAAAATATCTAAACACTGATACATATAGCTGTAAAATATTTGACAAGCCTCATTTATATTATTACAATGGTATAATGCATCCCAATTAACTGAAGATAGATAAAGGTTAACAGAATTAAAATTACAGTTTTTGAAATCATAAACATAGTCTTCATAAAAAACTGACTCTTTAAAATAACCAATAGGGATAAAAAATTCATACGGCTTATGCCTGAATGATTCACAAAACAATGGATCGACCGGCGTACACACATTTAGATCAGGTATATGTGAAAAAATGAGATCCAGGAATGTTCCATGTCTGTTTGGTATATTATTGCACTGATGGAGATTTAAAAATGCAAAAGATCCACAAACTGTATTCGCATGAGATCCATCAGGAAGTATGGTAGATAAATAAACCCCGTTTTGATCATTAGCCCATTGAGCATCTCTCAGGTTGTAATCGCCAGCCAAGATCACAGAACTCTGTGGATGTTGACTTATCAGTTCCTCAAGAAAGGTGCAGTGATATTCATATGCCTCAGCTAATGAACTAGGTGGTATATAGATTCCTCCTATTATAAGCTGGTCATCATTCAGTTTACTTCCACAAAAAGTTGTTCTATGTTAAGCAAATTTGACTTACATATTAGTTTAGAGGGTAGGTTTTTCTTGATTGCAATATACACTCCTCCGCCCACAATGTCCAATCCATGCTGATAGCGGTCCTGTCTATAAACATTATAGTTTAATAGATCAGTCTCGCTAACCAAAAACTTTTCAGATAACCACGATTCAATCAAAATAACAATATCATAATCATTTAGTAGCAAAGAGTCCCTTAACTGAGAGAGTTTAGTTCGAAGTCCACCAACATTATGAAAGTAACATTTTAGGGTACTTCTCAGTTTTTTGGCTGGTTAGTAGTTTTTTTTCACTATTGTAGGCTTATTGTTAATGAATTTGATTGTTTTAGAATTATCACCATTCTTAACCGTATCATCTAATTGTAATTTGATTTTCTTGAAATACTCTTGCTGGGCTTTTGTTTGATCCAGGGAAATTCTGACATCGGGCACTTTAATTAATCTTTTATTTTTGACAACAGTTTTAGCATCTTCAGCTGTATTTAATACTACTTTAATAGGTCTCGTTCTGTTAGCAAATTTTCCCAGTCTAAATAGTTTAACATTATTTTTGTTAATATTAAAATCAGTCAAAATCAGTTCCATTATAGTTTACAAGAAATAGGTGTTTCCATTAAACATTTTGAAGAAAAACAAATTTTAATTTTTTCTATTAGAAAGTACCCTCTATCTATGACAATTAAAACTAAATGCAATTATTTTATAGTAGATGTAAATGAATTCTTCCACACTCTTTCTAATGACACTAATTTTTAACACATATTTCTAATAAAAAATTTTGTTTTAGGCTTGTTGGAATTATAAGTAGATATATACGAAGATTTCCTAGTTTGGGACCTACAAGTAAATCACTCAACAATTTATTCAATGCTGTTTTACATAAAATGAAAAGAGCTCTGGAGCACGATGTATTTATACCAATAACTCCCAAATTAGTGGATAACAAGTCTCAGTTCTTTCAGCGACAGTTCGCCAGTGGTTTGAAGTTGCTAAAAAATATAACCAGTTGGCAAGGAATTCTCAACGACAATTTACTTAAGGAACTTGCTCTGAGGTCATTGCTTGACCGATATTTGTTAACTGGTTTGAAATTTTGCTCTCTCATAGATGCTGTACAGAAAGTGAAACTCATTAGTTTAATTTTGCCCAGAATTTGGTTACAGAGTAGCACGCCTGAATTTAAGAATTTCAGCAATGCAATTGTGAATCTGCACCAACAGCTAGATAAGAATAACCCATTACATCTTGAACCAATTGAAACAATTACAAATATCATGAAAACTTTAAGGTCTTTCATGTTAAGTTAAATGTTTATTAGTATGTCTATTTATTATTAGAAGCAATAAAATTGTATCATAAATTGTGGTTTTATTTTTTCATTCTTCATCACTTGTATGATTGGTTCAACTATTTAACAAATGCTTAAAAGGCGAAAATATCCCTGATGATTGGAATATTGGATATATATATATATATATATATATATATATATATATATATATATATATACATACATATATATATATATATATATATATATATATATATATATATATATATATATATATATATATATATATATATATATATATACCGGGAGGTGAATCGTCAAACGGGCCATAGGAAACTCAATGGGAAATTTTAAATTGTTAAATTGCTCCTTCCCTAATTATTTTAGATCCAAAGTCATAAAAAACTATTTGTAGAGGACTAAATTATAAATTAAAAACAAATGTTAAAACCGTTCTACGAATCAAATGTACTTCAAAATTTTGCAAAAATATAATAGATTTTTCAGACCACCCCTAAAAGTTAGGCCACACGTAATACAAGAATATATTATAACGTGTGTGTTTTATCATATTGATGTCAGATGTTTGACAATTTGAATTGTCAATTTATTTTATGATTAAATTATAAACAATAAATTTTACTAAATACTACTACTACTGAACAATATTACTTTGTGAACAATAAATTATGTTGTTTACAAATCGATCAATATAATGAAATGTACTCAGTTGACGAAAAATCTCATAATGTTGTATTCAGGCAATAGCGCGAACCTTTTCCTGTCACTACCGGATCTTTATTTAACGTAAGATATTCTAATACACTAAAAGTTAATTCAATGTTAAGTTATACAACAATTCAATGAATTTAAATATGCTGTTACTGTGATCTTTATTCCTAATAATAATATACGATAATTTCTAAACATAAAACTATAAGAAATGTTATAATAAAACACGAATAAAATATTTTTATTATTGCTCTTTTCTCCTTAACTGAATACATTTTTTAATCAACTTAATTTTTCTTTTAAATAATAAATCACAAAATTTTGGCCATTTAAATCATAGATAAATATAGTTTATTTAAATATTGTCAAATATTAGAAACGTCAGTATGACAAAACGCAACACGTAATACACATTCTTTTCACGGCATCTGGCCTGACTTTTAGGGGTGGCCTGAAAAATGTATTATATTTTAGAATACGTTTAAGTCGTAGAACAATTTTAACAATTGTTTTCGATACATATTTGAGTCCTCTACAAATAGTTTTCCATGACTTTTGGTGTAAAATAATTAGGGAAGCAGGAATTCAACAATTTAGAATTTCTCATTGAGTTTCCTATGGCCCGTTTGACGATTCACCACCCTGTAGAAGAACAAAATGGATTTCGTACAGGAAGATCGTGCACTGATGCTATATTAGTTCTACAGTAGGTAATCGAAAACCGGAAGGCAAGGAATCTATCTACCCACCTATTGTTTGTAGATTTAGAGAAGGCATACGATACGATACCTTTGAAAAAACAGTTTCAAACATTGACGAAAGTAGGTCTCAGTACTAGTAGAGAGTATGTGGATGCTATCGAAAATATATACAAAAATGCAAGAAGTACCGTTAAAGAAGGAAACTTTATATCTGAGTCATTTCCAATAATAAGGGGGCTTAAACAAGGATGTTGTCTACCTCCAACTTTATTTAAAATATATATTCAATCATCGCTAGAGCAGTGGAGGAAACAAGTATCCGGAATGGGAATAGACATAGGCGATGGTAAATGTCTAACAACTTTATTTTTCGCAGATGATCAGGTAGTCGTAGCGAATGATGATGAAGACATGGACTACATGTGGAAAACTAAAGAAAGAATATGAAAAATGGGGCCTCAATATGAATATGTCAAAGACAGAGTATCTTAAAATAGGGGATAATGAAGAAGATCCATAGTTAGAAATTAGAAGCACAAAAACATGCAATGAATATAAATATCTCGGATCTATAATATCTAAAGAAGGCACTACCACAAGAGACATCGAAAACAGAACGCAACAGAGAAAAAAAGCGGTTAACATTCTAATCTCTCTACTATGGTCTAAAGATATTAAACAAGAAATGAAATTGACAATCTATCGAACCTTGGTAGAGCCTATTATGACTTATGGGGCAGAAGTTTGGCAGATCACGAAAAAAGATAGAAAAAAAATAAAAGTAGTAGAATGACTCATGCCTAAACTGTAAACATATTATTTCTATAGGTAATGGATTTTGACAAGAGCTATGACCTTGTAAATAACAGGTAAACTTGTGTACTGCATCGGCATGACTCATAGCTCTTGTCAAAATCCATTACCTCTAATAAGTATTTTCCAGTAGGTTCTCCTCAGATAAACTATCTGGCGTTCCATCCTATTCGAGAAGAATCAGCAAAGATCACTATTCGAATTCTAGGGAACTTCGGAATAACAGCTATTTAGTATACATGGAGGAAATTTTTATTTGTAAACAGTTAGTCGGAATAGTTGTATCGAGTTTGAATTGTAACGTGGAAATGTAGTATATAAATTAGAATTGTGTAAATAAATTATTGTAAGACTTTATATAAATTAAATAAAGACTAATAAACTAAGTGTTACAACATTTTTATGATACATAAAGTTAATAAAGTAGATTAATAAAACAGTTCAATATATTAGATGATAGTGTGGTGCATCCAAAAAAGATCATATCAGGAATGAAGATATTAGAAGGAGGACAAATACTGTATATTCCAGTGTAGACAGAATTGAAACGAAGCAACTAGTGTGGTATGGTCACGTGAAGCGAATGAATGAAGATAGATGGCCAAAGAAAGCTTTAAATTACATACCACAACAAAGAAGAAAACGGGGAAGACCTTCAGTTGCCTGGGAAGAAAATGTACGACACATAATGAGAAGTAGAGTAGTAGAGCCATCAAAGAATGGATGGACAGAAAACGGTGGCGGTCGAAATGCGAGAGGCGGCAGAGGCTGTAGGAACCTCGCTTAAATATATATATATATATATATATATATATATATATATATATATATATATATATATATATATATATATATATATATATATATATATATATATATATATATATATATAGGGGAAAGGGGTGGGCAAAATGGGGTACGTAAGATTTGAACTTACATATTTCATACACGGTATTAAAAATTATTTGTTTCAAGCTGTAAGCGTAATTTCTATGAAATAATAAGTAAAAAAAATAATATTGCGTGACATAGTAGTTTTGACGTTTCTGATGTATACTAATATTTTGACGCATGTGTCATTTGCCCCATTTTGCCCCACCTATGGGGCAGAACAGGGTACCTCGTAAAAGCTAAAGTCAGAACGTAAAAAATATCTTTATTTTTGTATTCATAAGTATTGAACAATAAAATACATATGTATCTTTAATTATTTTCGCATAGAGCGCATAAGTGTGTAGTATCATCGTCATCTTCATCAACTCCTGCACACGAATTATGTGCCCATTTGGAGCATGATCGGCAACGAATCCACCCTTCTTCAGAGAAGTCATGGCAGTATAGACACTCATCTTCTGCAGCCTGTTCACTATCAGATGAAGCAGGAGTAGGAATTGGCATTTTTTTCTGAATAGTAGATGATGTTTTTTGTTGTTTGGCTGGTTTAACAGTGCCTTTTTTATTTTTAAGCAGATTTCTTTTTACGCGGTTTGGTCTGCTTTTCCTTGCCTTTGATTTTCAGCATTCCGCAACTCGTCCTTATATGGCGATGATGTCAAAATCACAGTTTTTCCACGTTTTCTGGTAGTCCTTTTACTTGTCTGTGATACTTTGGGAATTGGCAAAATGATTTGGGGACTAGCACCTTTAAAACTACTACAATTCAGATCTGGTTGAGAAGTTGAGTAAATGGAAGATTGTGCCGAAGTCGATGGGCTGAAAATATTTTGTAGAATCATGGATGGTTGGGACGAAGTTAGAGGGATGGAAGTTAGATGTTGCTGGCCTGGAGGTGACTGGGCAGCATCTTTGAAAGCTGTAGTACTCTGGACTTGCATCTCCCTTGTATCATTGAGAGAAAGTTCAATGTTTGTCGTTGCAGAAGGTAAGAAATCTTCATCTTTAAAAACATTCATGTCACATGGCCAAATTCCAGTTTTTAGTAAAACCATTTATAGCTGTGCTCATCGCTGCAGCCTGTATAAAAGCGGCCCCAAATAACGAAGCTATCTGAAACAAGGTAACGACTTTTCCAGGATTACATCTCAACCATTTACGTACTTCATCCTCGTAGTACTTACTTAACGGTTTCATAAATGCCACGTCTAGTGGTTGAAGTCGGTGAGAACAATGGGGCGGAAAACACAACAAAATTACCCCATTATCTCGTGCAAGATCAATTAATTCCAAGCTCTTGGTATGGGTGGAGTGTCCATCTAAAACAAGCAGAATTGGTTTCTCTTTTTTGGCTCCGGTAAAAGAAATAAATCTTTGAAACCAAACAACAAACAGTTCCTGAACCTCAGCAAACGCACCTGATGGAAGTCCAGTCTGGAATTCTTGCTGCGTGCGTTTTCTGGGAAAAATTAACATTGGGGGAACATAATATGTCCCGCTAGCGGAGAAACAAATTTCAGCGGTAACAATTTGACCTCGTTCAGCTGAAGTTAAAATTCCGACCTGACGACGTCCTTTCTTGGAAATTACTTTAGAATGACCTTTAGGATTTATATATATATATATATATATATATATATATATATATATATATAATATAATATAAATATATATATATATATATATATATATATATATATATATATATATATCTCTTTCTCACGTATTTCATCTAAATTTCTTAATGCTTCTTTCTCGTAAGTCTCTCTTACGTTCCATGTTCCCACTTTCAATCTATTTAATCTATTTTCTATTTGTATATTTCCTTCCTTGCTATCTTTTTTTCCCTTCCTTCAAAATCATCGTCCTTATCATATCCCTATATTTGCTATTTTTCCTTAGTTGCTTACTATTTATTAGTTTGGTTTT